TCGCCTGTCACCTCCATCCTCGGCAGCAGCGGCGCCGTATCAGACGACGTCCGCCCATGCCGCTCCCTCCGTCCCCGCCCCGCCCCGTCCCTTCCTGCGTTGTCGACTACTGGCCCAGACGGCGGCCACGACAGCGGCGTCACCTCGAACGACTCCAGACCCGTGCGCGCGGGTGATCCACTCTGCGACGGCGACGATGCATGCTGCGTGCGACTGGCCACCGCACGGTATCCCCTTGCCCCAGTCTCGTACGTCTCTCCCTCCTCCTCGTACCCAGCCGTACCATCCACCCTCCGACTGGGCACCGAACGGTATCCCCTTGCCCCAATCTCGTACGTCTCTCCCTCCTCCTCGTACCCAGCCGTACCATCCACCCTCCGACCCTTCTCACGTACCCTCCCTCCTCTCCTCCGTCCCCGCACCGCTATCCATATTCCAACCCCGATCAGCAGCGCACCCACCACTGACCCGATAACCGTTCCGCATATCGCTCCTGTGCTCATCCCTCCTCCCCTACTCGACCTCGCACTTGCACTAGGCGTCGACGATCCAGCTGCTGTTGCCTGCCGTGTAGAGCTCGACGTCGAAGAGACCACCACCACCATATTCCCAGGCCCCATCTCCACTTCCTATCGCTGGCTGTCGAAAAATGTCTCTCGGACTGCGCCTCACCGTCACAAACCTGTAAACTATAATCAATTACTATATCAGAAAACAGTAGTTAGTCGGAATGAATGCGAAGCGACTAGCACAACGGAGAAGAGGAGAAGAGAAAAAAGCAATCCACACTAGCGTACTTATCAACAAACCACTCTGACAGCCGCTCTCGTGCGGGGCTCTTATCGCCGTAAACTACTTCCTAGGGCTGTTCACTACACACGCGACGGCGGGCGCGAGAGGCGTCTTTTAGCACAGTTTGCACAGCTTTGACTCCCCACGTTCTTGGAAATCTTCACTCCCCGGGCTGTGCATCCCGCAGTCGTTCACTTTTTCTGGTTTGGGATCCGAGACACCACTACTCCGCATGGGCCTGCGTCCGGATCAACGTCTCTGATTCGCTTTCAATTTTTCATTTCTGGAACTGTCTCAACGCTGCGAGGAGGGAGAGTGGTAGGTGACCACTGAGACGGGTGTCAACAAGTCGCAACTTCAAACCAGCGGCACTCGTCACCGACTTTTATCCTCCCAGGCTCTCACGCCTACCCTCCAGAGTCTTGCGGCGATGCCAGTGTCAATGATGGCGGCGGCGTCTGTGCCCGTTTTCTCAAGCCCGCTTTTTCAAGTAGACGCTTCGCTCAGGTTCGCTCGGTCGCTCGCCTCGTAGACGCTGTGAAGGCTGTGAGGGTGTTACAAGCAGCTAAGTAACGCCACGCTTTGCTTTGCTGTGTCTTTTCAATTTCACATCAACACCGGTATGGAGCTGGAGCATTGGCACGGTTCGCGGTTCTCGTTCACGATTGTTTTCCGTTTTCGTCGTACGGACAGCTTTGAAGGACGCACACGCGGATAAGGAAGTGGAAACTGGAGAAAACGCAGACAGCGATAGCGATAGCGTCTGTGTGGGGGGCTCAAACTTGACAAGGTAAGAGTTCCGATCTGCGAAGTATGTCCCTGATGACCGCAACGATGACGGTACTGGTCATTCACGCTTGTTTAAATTTAAATTTAACATGGACCGGCTCGTCGTGAAACGGTTTTCACAGGCAAGTCTGAGATGCTGAGATGAGTCCCGAGTCCTGGGGGTTCGGTGTCGCTGATCTGGAAAATTAGAAATTTGATGAGAGCGGCCTTTTCTTCAAGTTCCTTCCCTTTGCCCTTTGCTTGGCTTTGAAACCTGGTTAGACACCGTCAGGACTGGTGAGTGAGCGTCATGGATTATCAACGTCGACATGGATCGCCTTGAGACTTTCAGGCCTTCCAGATCTCACACCTCGGGCCTGGGGGGGTGTGCACCCAGCGCACCACGCCATTTGAAACATGGACGTTGGACGTTGAACTCTCGGGTGCGGGGAGTCCATTTCGGACGAATTTGACGAATCTGACGAATCCCCCCCCCGGTTCTGTTATCACGCTTCTGCGATCCTGATTTTTTTTTTGGGGGCTCTGATACATCGGCGCTTAGCTGGGATCTATGTGACGATGCCAAGGGAAACGGACACGAGTGAAGGACGGCTGTGTCGACTGACGATCCATATCAAACTCGCCTCTACTTGTTTCGCCGGAACGTCTGCGTTTCCCCGTTATAAGCACACGCCAGCCCATATTAATCAATACTAGCTTGCAGGCGCTATTGATGAAGAGGCTGAAGCGCTGAAGCTGAAGAGCGTGATGCTGCTTGTTCTTGTTCTTTCTGGGGTGAGTCGGGTGAGTCGGGTGAGTCGTATAGACCGGCTGTGGGACTGTGCATCCATTTCACAATTTAGCTGTGTTATAGACACTGACAGGTCAGTATCGTATGATATCGATCAAGGTACGCCTCACTCTTTTTGAAAAAATATATAAAATCAATACCTCAGGATAGGACCAGGATGGTGTGACAGTATTGTATGAACCACTTGCACGTCTCGGTCTTTTTTTCATTTGAAAAGAAATAAAATAAAATAGGAATTCCCCAGGCATGGGACGAGAATCGTGTGACGCGTGAGGTATTGTCGACACATATGCATCGTTATTCAGTATTCGTTTTCATCGTGATAAATGGTTATCTCAGTATCACGCTGGCCAGAGGCATTTTATCTTTTTTTTTTTTTTTTTTTAATTTACTTTTGACACCTTACGACTCGGAGGGGGTCGAGATGTGACCTTGTGGTTTGCAGGGACTCACTTGCCATCACACCATCTCTGTCACACTTTTTTTGTTGTCGTCGAAAGAAGGCGATAAAAGAGAATATTCAGTGTCACACGCTGACATATCTTAGGGCGAGCAGGTCAACTAATCAATAACCAAATATATTGTTCGCAAAACGGGTGGCCAAAATGCCTGTCATATCAGAAAAAGAAGGTAGGGTCAGAGAGAGTGAGTATGATATGAGTACGGCGTGTGAGAGGTAAGAGAGGGGCGATAAGGCTGCAGGTCAGGTCAGGGATGTAGGAGATGCTGGTGAGAGACAGATGCCAGGACGTAAGCAGAAAAGATGAAAACTAAGAGAGTGAAAAGGTAAAAAGCAAGTCAGAGATAGGAGAGCGTGGCGATATGGCTACACGTTGTAGAAGATGCTGGTGTTAGAGACAGATGCCAGGACGTAAGCAAAAAAAATGAAAACTAAAAGAGTGAAAAGGTAAAAAGCAAGTCAGAGATAAGAGAGCGTGGCGATATGGCTACACGTTGTAGAAGATGCTGGTGTTAGAGACAGATAGCACGATGTAAGCAGAAGACAAAACGAGTGAAAGATAAAGCAATCGGAGAACGTCGACGTAAAGGAGCGTGTGTAGGTAGTTTTTGGTTTTTTGTTGTTTTTGTTGTTTTTTGTTTTTTTTGGCAGATATGGGTATCGTAAGAAAAGAAATTGAAACAATCGAGAACATGTCAACTTTGAAGCAATACACTGACTGGAGCCAAAAGAATCAGTCATCGCCGATAGAACACCCAAGGGGTAGGCTCACCAATACAAAAAGGAAAGCGATGGTCGATGATGATACACCAGGTATCCCTCACTCCTGTCGTCTAATCCGGATCGGTCTCGCACCCTTGCAAGTCGACGGGTTGCGCACAATATGCCTCCTCACCGCATCGAGCCTCGTATACTGCTGACCACACTCCGAACAAGCCAAACAAATGGGAAAGTGCGTCGTAGCAAAGTGTCGGCTGATATTGGCGAGCAGCAACTCCTCGCTACACCCCTCCCACTGACAAGACACCATATCCTGCAGCTTGCTTTTCATACCGTGATACCTCGTGAGATGCGCTTTGACGTTGCTTTTGCGGATCGACCGGCCGCAGGGCACGGGGCCCCAGCCGCAGACGAACGTGGGGCTGGTGAGGCTGGAAGTGCTGGCGGGGGGAGCGGGGTTGACGGCAGGCGGGGTGGAAGAAGTGGAGGCAACGGGCTGCATCGTCGGGGCGTTATTGGTGGCAGCGCCCGTGGAGGGGGCTGGGGCCTGCCAATGTTTGAACCGAACACCCTGTGTAGGCTGAAGCTGAGGGGCAGAAAAGTTGGGGGGAATGCCTTGCTGGAGCATAGGTTCTGCCATATTGCTCGTGGGAGGGGCGCCCGCAGAAGTGAAGCCGTTCTGGTTAAAGGCGCTGTACGCAGCCTGGAAAGCGTGCTGAGCGGCAGAAAAATCGGGCGGGATGCCTTGTTGGAGCATAGGTCCTGCCATATTGCTCGTGGGAGGGGTACCCGCAGAAGTGAAGCCGTTCTGGTTAAAGGCGCTGTACGCAGACTGGAAAGCGTGCTGAGTGGTAGGATAATTGAAGGAGACGTCTTCCTGGGGCGCAGGTCCTGCCACATTGCTCGTCGGAGGGGTACCCGCAGAAGTGAAACCGTTCTGGTTAAAGGCGCTGTACGCAGACTGGAAAGCGTGCTGAGCAGAATAATTGAAGGAAATGTCTTCCTGGGGCGCAGGTCCTGCCACATTGCTCGTCGGAGGGGTACCCGCAGAGGTGTAGGCGTCCTGGTCAAAGTCACTGTACGAAGCCTGGCAAGCGTGCTGAGCGGCAGAATAGTTGAAGGAGATGTCATTATAGAGTACAGGTCCTGCCACATTGTTCGTAGGAGGGGTACCTGCAGAGGTGTAGCCGTCCTGGTCAACGTCACTATACGAAGCCTGGCAAGCGTGCTGAGCGGCAGAATAATTATAATTGAAGGAGATGTCTTCCTGAGGCGCAGGTCCTGCCACATTGCTCGTCGGAGGGGTACCTGCAGAGGTGAAGCTGTCCTGGTCAACGTCACTGTACGAAGCCTGGAAAGCGTGCTGAGCGGCAGAATAGTTGAAGGAGATGTCATTATGGAGTACAGGTCCTGCCACATTGTTCGTAGGAGGGGTACCTGCAGAGGTGTAGCCGTCCTGGTCAACGTCACTGTACGAAGCCTGGCAAGCGTGCTGAGCGGCAGAATAGTTGAAGGAGATGTCATTATGGAGTACAGGTCCTGCCACATTGTTCATAGGAGGGGTACCCGCAGAGGTGTAGCCGTCCTGGTCAACGTCACTGTACGAAGTTTGGCAAGCGTGCTGAGCGGCAGAATAGTTGAAGGAGATGTCATTATAGAGTACAGGTCCTGCCACATTGCTCGTGGGAGGGGTACCCGCAGAGGTGTAGCCGTCCTGGTCAACGTCACTGTACGAAGCCTGGAAAGCGTGCTGAGCGGCAGAATAGTTGAAGGAGATGTCTTCCTGAGGCGCAGGTCCTGCCACATTGCTCGTCGGAGGGGTACCTGCAGAGGTGAAGCTGTCCTGGTCAACGTCACTGTACAAAGCCTGGCAAGCGTGCTGAGCGGCAGAATAGTTGAAGGAGATGTCATTATGGAGTACAGGTCCTGCCACATTGTTCGTAGGAGGGGTACCTGCAGAGGTGTAGCCGTCCTGGTCAAAGTCACTGTACGAAGTTTGGCAAGCGTGCTGAGTGGCAGAATAATCATAATTGAAGGAGATGTCTTCCTGGGACGCAGGTCCTGCCACATTGTTCGTAGGAGGGGTGCCCGCAGAAGTGAAGCCGTCCTGGTTAAAGTCACTGTGCGAAGCCTGGCAAGTGTGCTGAGCGTGACTGCCGTTTGCAGTGGTAACTTCAGTGGCATTGATGGTGCTCGACACATGGTCCCTATAGGATAGGATGGCAGAAATTAGTAGGTGTTATAAGAGATAATCAAAAAAAAAAAATAGGGAATACTCACTCGTTACATGTATCAGTAGCATACGCAGCAGCGGGTGCGAGCGCTCCGCTGGAAGGCACAAAGATGTCAGTACCAGCCTGAGCGGCTAGAGATGTGACATACCCTTCGGAAAGTGGAGGCTCGATATCAATTGGAGGTACATCTTCGCTTTGGGCCCCTCCCAATACAGCATCAGAACGATCGGGGTGAGCTACAGGGTTATGCGATGCTTGATCTAGTTCAGTTTCTGATTCATACACGTTGAAGGTTTCTTTAGTGTGCCCCTCGGTAGTTTGACGAGGAGGAATATCTTCGTTTAACATGCAATACGCGCGGAGTGCAATAGAATAGTGTGTCTCATCAAGAGTTTCTGGAGGAGGTGGGGCCCAGGGATGTGTGATCATCGAAGGCGGTAACCTGTAAACGAGTATCAGTGACTATACGAGTGAATAGAGATATCCAAATACTTACCCTTCCAGATCCGCTGGACAAACTGAATGAACAGTACGACTATCAGGCCACCCAACAAGGTCGGGGGTGGGCGCGATGTGTGTTGCTGGATACGCGTTGGGTTCGACGCCTGCGTCGCCAACGTAGTGAGGGAGCGCATCCATTTGACCATCTGTGCCGGGTACTTGTTGGGGAACGGCGTGTGGATTTATGTTAAGTCCTAAATTATCGCTATAGAAGAAGAGCAGATGACGGTCAGTTATAAGGTGTAGAAAGAGACAGGATACATACCTAACCGACACATTGTCGTCGAATAAGCTGGGGTCATCGAATTTCATGAATTCGTTGATGTCGAGATCCACAGAGGAGGACATGATCGTGATGATGAAGTAAAGGCGTAGTAGGTGACAAGAAAAGTCGACTGAGAGGGAGGAGTGTGGGAGGGGAGATGAGAAGTGATGATGAAGTAGAGAAGTAGTAGGTGGCAGGAAAAGTCGACTGAGAAGGACGAGTTTGGATGGGGAAGATGAGGAGTAGTAGGGGGTAAGAAACGACAACTGAGAGGGATGAGTTTGGACGGGAAGACGATGAAGTAAAGAAGTAGTAGCAGGCAATAAATGTCAACTGAGAGGGATGACTTTGGATGGAAAGATGAGAAGGAGAGAGTAAGGGGTTTTAGCGGGTACCGGTCAATAAAAGCAAAGCAACAAGTCGCGTCGCGTCGCCAGATATATTTCCGCGAAGGCCACCATAAAGAAGCGGAGTGGTAACTTCCGAGGACAGATCACACTTCCTCGTCCACAAATGCTTGCCTATGGACCAGTCAATGGGCCAAACAGCCACACATACAGGGGCAAAGCTCAAAGCTATTACGGTTTCACAATTTCACATTGGCTTTGGCACTATCCCCTCATTCTAACAAGTATATATCAGCACCTCTGACAATTTCGTAGGGCACAAAAGACACACCGCACACTACACATGTTCTTTGCTCCCACTAATTTAACTTTCCCCTGCCCTTCTGAAGAAGGCAAGTCGGGAAGAACGTGCCGGGAGGTTGGCAGGTCATGTCACCGTTGTGAGGCTTTGACCGTGCCTACCTCCAAGCCACAGTGAAGAATCTGGGCCCTACAAAATACTTTGTATGACGGGAAAGTATTTCGTGTACTTCAGTGTACTTTCAAGAACGGTAAACCGAAGACGACGCCCGCAGCCTTGACGGTGAAGGTACCCAAGCAAGCAGATGCACAATGTGCTTATGGACACCAGCACCATTATATCGCAATTTCTCTCCGACGTCGCAGCCTATGAACAACTCACGAGACCACGAGTTAATCACCTTGGTAGCACCCACGACCACTCACTTATTCACCTCTTCTTCATGGACAAAAGGGACACCCTGGCGTCGCTCCCGCAAACCAGATGATGAGCACCCCCGATTCATCACCTCCTTGGCGAACCGTTGTTCTGTGATATCGTTTAAAATGAGGTCACTTTTATTAAGGTAAGTCATCCAAACAGTACTCCTCGCGATGGCATTCGTTGTACCGATACACCTTTGGTAGCTATCAGCACCACAACATAGCACTCTTCCAAAAAGACGCATACCAGCCACGGCTCATCACCGGCAACCATCACCTCCCTGGATGCCATTCACGACAAATTCAACTTCATATCAACCATAAACTGATGGATCAACTTCGTAAAAACGACATATACTTAGAAAGTGACTTACCAAAGACGTTAGTACTTGCAGACTGTTGGAGTGTTATGGCTTACATCTATTATATTTCAATGATTGGTTAGCCGCAGTCACCTATCTGTCAGAACGAAGCTTCGTATACCGTCATCTCATGGTCTGCGTCACACATATGAAGGATCAGGGGGAATTAACTCGGACCTGACTTTGAGCTAGGTAAATCTTGTATTACGGCTAAGAGGCACATTCCAAGCGATATACTTCATAACCCACTTCCTCAAACGGATGTACCTTGGGAAAGTACAATTTATTTTGTAAACGACGTACCGTGAGGCTAATTAAAAGAAGCTCACCAATTTCAGCTCATTGATTGCGCTCCGAAGCACTTCCACACTCCCATTGACAACCATCTCCACTTTATTCTCGTCTACGCGCTCAGCACCAGACATATATTGATTTTAAATAAATGGTTGATCAATATGACAAGACTCGCAAGTTCAAACTCACCCGCTCCTGAGGTTATGAAGGCGCTGTGTTTATGTGGACTGATGCTTCCTAGCTCCCGAGGAATTTTCTTCAAGAGATATTGCAGAATATCTTGCGTGGAACTTCTAGGTGCGAGGAAAATAAGCTTGACACGAGACTCTGGATCAAATGCCAAGGAATGGTTGTCTTCATCCATCCTTGCGCCGTAGGAAATGAATTGCTGAAGTACATTCAATGCTATGACAGATAATAATGAGCCAAATACTCACAATCGATCGCAGGTCAAGTTATTGGGAAATAGACATCGCAATTCATATACGATTTTGCAACATTATGTCACATTGCAATATACGACTTCATGGACATTATTTGGTAGGAGGAACCGTCGATGGTGACACTAGCGCTTGGTATCCATGCATAAAATGCGACGAAGAGAAACACGTCTCCAGTAATCCGATCCAGGGTAGACAAGCCTGGTGATGGGGGGGCTAAATTTCCTCATTCAAAGCAAGATTCGATAAAACCAAGAACGACGAAGCCTCCACGTTTGTCTATGTTCTAATCGATAAACGTCATATGCAATCTCTTCATACGGATGGACCTACAACAAATGTAACAGGATGCACATATATTGAGTAAAAGGTACGATAGTGACTACAAACGAAACTACTGACAGCTCTTAGTTCCCTAGTCGCAGCAGCCAGTTCTGCCCTTTCACCCTTATCGTCGACCAAGACCTCTACTCTATCTTCCACCATAAACTCCAATGTAGGGGTTTGCTTCCAGACCAGGCTTAAACTGTCCTACATCTTCTGCGCATCATCGTCACCAGAAAAGCCCGTAAAGTTGACAGGATGTTATGATTGACCGGCCCTTGGAATGATGAATGGCACAATGTTGGTGGTGCCTGATATTGCCTATCTCCTGAGGAAATTTTTCGGAACGATGCTGAAGAATGGATTGAGTAAGGGTCCTTGGGGTAAAGAAAATGAGCTTTAGAACGGGATATTCACTGAGACCTGAGACTGCAGACGCCGCTGCAGGGAATGATTCAGCCTGAGAAGGAACTTTCTCGGGATATTCCGCGGAGTGCCGCAGATCACGTTCAAGTTTGCAACTTGGACGTTTGCTTGAACTCCTGCAATTCATGTGCTTTTCACCACTGGCAACTGCTTGTTGAACTTGTGAAACCAACTCAGTTCCTACCGTTATTACTTGGGCACTTTTAGTGAGCCTTTGTATTCGATGGTTCGAGTTGGAAATGGTCGATACAGACGAGAAAACGTTTTCCTGGTGTGTACTTTGGTGAATGGAAGTTTTACACCGTGTACGCTGCTTGAACATCATCTAGAGTCTTCGGTGTACAGGTAAGTCAATTATAGCTCGTTTACTGTAACAAAATTAATCATGATTATGTTTCTCAGCTTTCGAGAATACATCGTTTTCCTTGATATGGCTCGAGGCTAAAGGCAGAGTATAAACTCTGGCATCGACACATTCTTAGCTTGTTTACGAAATTTGATTTACGGATGATCTTGAAGTGAAGTGAAGACAGAAAGGCGGAGACAGAAAAGAATGGCAAAGGACGCAAAAATCAGGGCGCGAATTATTCGATTTTCCCCTGTAAAGCGGTCGGCCCAGGACTATCGGCCAGCAAACGATCTTCACCCTACCCGTGGGGGCTCGCTTTAACGTCTGTAAGTGGCAATTATACCAAAATCATGATTAATGTGGAAATAATTTCAAGCTGGAGGTAAGCGTGAATATGCTTACACGTGACTTGTAGAAAATCGACCTACTCAATCGCTCGCCGTCAAGACCAATCCTTCGTATTCGTTTGGCCACAACTAATGGGAAATGTCATGTACGCCTGTAAAATTTCAAGTGGTCTTCAATCCGTTCGTCGGTGGGACCTTCGCGCTTGTTTGGATGGACTGGTCCATCCCATGTGGACGATGTTGGCATACATTAGGATTGCCAAGGCTCAAAATTGTCCTATCGTCCGTCATTCTAATCACCTACTGCCACACCATCACCAAGCCAGACGTCAGTATAGGGTACAATGATTAATACAGGACCCACGAGGGCGACACTGTTTATTCGCAATGATATCCAGTGCTAGCGCGAGATGGACGACAAACGTCCTTCAGGCTATCCAAGAAGCACTTTGCTCACGTAGTTGGAATATTCCTACAAATTATATTGCGGAGCGAATACTTGCTTGTCGTCAGTATGATCATATGAAGACTCGGAGTGCGGTCTCAACGTTTCGTGGCCTGGCACATGCAGCTGCATGTCGCGTGAGCACGCATTCGTTCTACACTCCGGTCACGATTTAAAATAAGGCTAGGACTAGGTGTACACATCTCAAAGAAATGTGCTATATGATAACCCTGTGCATCAAATGTCAAGGCCGTACACCCACCTACATGAATATTGCGCGCTACGGCGTGAGAGCCAGTTTAACGCCTTTTTCGCCAAGCTTGGTGTTCGAAGGAGGAGGTCGTAAGGAAGGGAGGCGCTTGAGCTCTTTTCTTGGGAGGGCTATGAATAAGGTTGGTGAGAAGGATATATGTGGTCCCTTCTTCTTCCACGTACCCATTCTTTCTGTCCCGCTCTCTCTCTCACCTATTTTCCTCCACCCCCCGCACTCTCCCCCAACGTTTCACTCTCAATTTGTTTACATTCTTGGGTTAGGAGATATCACGATGGTACTCGATCAGACCTAACTGGACGAAATGTGAGCCAGAACGAAGAGTGTAGTCTAACATGTTTGATTGGAGGGAGGTGCACCATCCGCGGCCTCTGGAGTTTCGGAGAGGATCCGTTGAAAACCTATGGCTTAGATGCTATTAACTGTGTAAGGGTTATCTTTTCGGCTACCGGACAAGTATACTAAGGATCCCTTTTTTTGCCTTTTCCAGTAGCATTCCGTCCATGACCGATTGATCAGAGGACATGGCGTCCAATTTTTACCGCGAAACTTGTTGGACATTTTCAGAGAATATATTACCAAGCGCAGGTAAGAGCGAGACAGCTCTAGACACACAAAGCTCCCTGAAATTGGGCGTCTTATTCGTCTCAGATGCAATGATATGATTTGGGGGTAAACGACAAACATAGCAACATTCGATAAAGGGTGATGAAGGATGAAAAGGATGGAAGAAAAAACGTTCGATCCTGACGTCCCTTCGTGATATATATTTGCGGCCAAGGACCGACAACGTCTCCATCTACGCATGGTTCCGCCCCACGTATTCCTCTGGTTACCTTAGATCAAGACGCTCTGAATCACTAGCAAATGCAAATTGCCTACTCTCGATAATCGGGTTCACGGAGGTTCACGGCTCACCAGAAAGGTTCCGAGGCGAAGCGCCATCTCAAGTCCAAGTAACCGTTGTATTTGAGATTCACGCGATATCAGCGACGTTGCAGGAGGAATGGATCATTGAGGGAAGGAAAATCATGTCAGCCGTCGGGCTGCAATCTAGCTCCCACCTTACTGAGACAGCACGACAAGCTGACGGTGCACTCAAACTACATAATGCACTATCAGTCGCACATGTTGTTTTGGCTAGATATCATGGTGAACAATCCATCTCGGTTAGCTGCTAGCAATCTGATCTAATTTGGTTTACAGATAGTTGTTCAGCAAAATGGCTTGCCCGTAATGGGGGGACTTCCGAAACGCTATGCCCGCTTCTTTCTTCAAAGTACTATAGTACCTAGGCGTCCTAGCGGTATCCGCCAACTCAACTCCAGATGTCCGCAACAGCAAACATCGCGCAAGGCTCCAGGTTTAATTTACCCGACCTCCGTCGCGTTGGAAATACAAACTTTCATGATGTAAGTAAGTTTTAGTCGCTGAAAACGTCGATGGCTGACTTAGACTCGCATGCCATCTTTGATTAAACAAGATCGTTTGTCACTACTTTCGGACCGAAAGGCTCGCGTATACTCCAGTTGTTTTATGGGCAATGCTACTAGTTGTAGTACTGCTGATATGTCGTACCGTATCGTGAGTGCATGGCATCCTCCCTCTCTATATATGCAATCCTCGTGAAATATTGTATTTTTCTGTGCTATATAAAGCGAGGCTATCCGTCCTCCCCAGTGCTCGAGCTCACTGTCGAACGTTCTAAAAGAACGCATCACCGTTTGTTCGGAGTCCTCATGCTCGTCTATCTGTGATAACTGACATACATTTTCTAGGATACTATTCATGATGTCTCGCACGCCGCCCTCGTTGCATCTTGAATTGAACGATCTTGATGGAAGGAACAGGAGAAGGATAATGCCGGGCACGTACAATGAACTAGTCTTGCAGCCTATCAATCTGGACCGGGGCAGGGTCGAAGTCAACAATTCACTGCGCAGAGTCAATAACCTTGCTGTATCACTTTTGGAGAACACTCCCACAAATTTTCGAAGCACAGTTACTTGGCTTGTGACGCTGATATCATTCGCTTTTACACTTTTCTCGCCGTACGATGGACCATTATATACAGGATACTATGAAACTTATCCTAGAGGCTTCTCTGAATTGCCTTGGGTTACTTCTTCTCCCATGGAGCCCTCCCTCTATGAAAGAGAATCCCAGACGCAGCCGTTGCCTACGCCTCATGATGCAACCGGCCAGGAAATCACTTTCGCACTCTGTCCTCGATATCTCATGTTGTACGACCGCGCTCACAAGTGCTGGTTACGCTGCAGCAAACAAGAGATCTTGAAGCAACAACGTTACGTAGCTGTGTCTTATCGACAGTCGGACTTCTTTACAAGAGGAGAGGGTGAGAATGTGCAAAAGGAGGTCTTGATAAAGTCAATTCAACACTCTTGTCTCTCTATAGGCCATTCTGCCTATTGGTTAGACTTCCAGTGTACTGGAGAATCTCAAGAGGAGAAAAACCTCGATTTGTACCGCATTGCGGACGTATTCAGGGGTGCCTCACGCACATTGATCAAGATCAAGGAGACCAGCGATGATATGTCCAGTAGCCAAGGTTGGAAGAGTTGGGGCAGTCGTGTATGGACACTTCCCGAGGCACTCCTCGGTCCATGCTGCACACTGTGCTACACAGTCGGGACTGGTTTAGGACCTGTTCATGACATAGGGCTACATCAAGTGGCCAACTTGGCATACGAGCACCATGACAAAGAAATGGCAATTATCAACACGTACGGTGGGAGGGAGACCCTGGGAAGGATAGAACACCTGCTACTTTTGAAGGACGCTATATGGCGTCGTTTTAGTGGACCACCGTCGCAGTCCTCAGTCGCAAATGCATCAGCAAGCGAGTTTACCGCATATCCAGCAGAAAGAGTCTATGCTTTAATGGGCTTTTTCGAACATCGTATCGAACCCAATCTACTAGAGACAGAATCACAGGCACTTGCACGGCTCTTTCTTGCCAATTACAATGATCGATTTTTGGCGAGAATGGTATCAATGCTACCTCGAAAAATCTCGCCAACCAGCTGCTGGTACTCGGACGAGGATGTCTACTGCACCAAATTATGGGAGGTGGAGCCTTGTATACAAGTTCTTGCGATCAGCAAAACCGGAGCAGTAGTAGTGGATGACTGTCGTGCGGCAGTCATGAAGTGGAATGGGTTTCCGGAGGTGGCATTTCAGAGGGACAAATCGTTCAAACGTCTCATCTGCTGCGTTCTGCCACGCTTCTTTTGGCTGATCTTTCTAATGAGCCTCGGTCTCCTGGCGGTCAGCAGCGTCTTGAGTATATTCGTTATGGGTGTCTCCTTCACCTTGCTCTTCGTTTCCCCTCGGCTCATCATCTACGGTCATTCTGGGCGTGTTAACGCAGTTCAGCCTTGGCTTATCGGCGCCAAAGGTGTTGTCACGGTCGAAGAAGCCTCACGGATGGTATGTGGTAAAACAGAGCCTGGTCCCATTCGTTTTTCCTACAATGCGAGAGGCTCCACACTTTCTATACCACATAATGCTGACATCCCCCGAGGGAATCCTTCACAAGCCTCCATCGCATCACGGCTCCGCAATGTCTACACGCTCATAGATACGGTCTCCCGTTCGGTCTATTACTTCCAGGCAGAACGAGTACCGACAGTTTGTGTGTTCACAGGTCTGGAAGGAGGGCTTGGACGGTTCGTTCTCTGTTCTGAAGGTCATGGTCGCTGTGAAGGTGAATTACACAAGGAGACTGTCCTGCGGATGCCGACTCATGTGGGAGATATGATGCGTCGATGTGACAGGATTGCCATTGGAGGCTTAGGCGATGACTCACAATAATGCTGGCTACGATTTCCCTTTGGTTTCACTTTCTGCTGTTTTCTTTCACTCGTCCTGGGCGTTTGAATGTTCGCTTGGGATGTTGTATTCTTGATTGTCCGTTTGTCTTGTTTGCAATGTATTTCTACACATCTTGACCTGTCCCAAATGTTTTGCTCACCTTTGCTGAAGTTGTCGAAATGCTTATCGGCGTCCTTTAAATTTGAACATTGTATACTGAATTGTTTACCACTTCAAAAGACTCTGGCCTTACGCTAGTCTTGTATAACTTCTTTTCTGGTGGAAAAAAATACTCAAATTACTGGACCCTTATGTGAGGACTTGAACAAGGGTGGAATGTAGTAGTATGTTGTGTTAGCTATTGCCAGTGGGACTGGTACCGGTTGGAGGTTGGGGAATGGATGGGGAGAATATGTGTAATTATACGCTATGCGCAAGAGAAAGCACAACCTACTCGCGATAAGGGTAGACTCAAAACGTCCTTCAGTTGAACGACTAAAATGGTTGCATACAACGTATGTAGGACAGAGGACAGAGGGCGCCCCTTTCAAAATTTCTTACTAGTTATTCACTAGAAAATGCATACTTTGTACCATACTCTAACACTTCCCTCCACTTGTTCATGTAACGTATGGGAAGGTGATTAGGGATATCGGACTGCTGGACGATAGATTGACACATTATTTTCTGTCCAGACATAGCAAACCATGTCAGAGATAACATACGTTAAAAATGTTTCCTGCCGGGGTATCAATGTGCGGCCTAGGTTAAGAATAAATTCAAGAGATAAAACCTATATAATCTTACAAAGTTACAAGTACAAGAAATGGAAGAAATGAACGCTGAAGGTGAGAAACACTAATGGCAAGACGGACGAGAGATTGTGGTAGGAATAACTTAAGTATTATGAGCCTGAGGTATGGTAACAACCCCATCCTCTATGCTCCTATCCTCGTCGTTTGAGCTGATACTACTCGCTAGCGCCTGTTCTACGTAGGAAAATGTTTCTCCAGTAGCAAGGTTCCATATCCGCAGCCATTCCATATCATCCCAGGGCTGCCGCCGTACTTCCCTAACAGCCCACACATAGCTGTCTCTCCTGCAATTCAGCGACCCCTGGACCTTGTCGGTCTCCACGATCCACTCCACCCTATTCACAGTTTGCTGTCGTAATGACCGCCGACGGGCAAGTACCAGTATGCCGGCTTGGATTATATGCCCAGCAAGATACGAGATCCGGAACAACATCCCAGACATTCCAACAAGAAGCACACCTCCCATGAAGAACATCATGGAAACGAGCCGCAAGGATTCTGGTGAGTTGGCTTTCCCTGGTACTTTGAACGACGTGGCTTCGATAAAGAGTTGACCTGGGGCCTTGACGATGATGGTCACACCATTAGCCATAAAGAATACATTTGACTGCTCCTCTGTTTGCTCCTCCGTCCGCGTTAGTGGGCCGTCCGCAATGCTAGTCACGACTGCAATGGCTTGTCCCACAAGAAGTGAACATAGCGCCCCAATGGCTACGTAATCTAACGTCACGCCAGCGACGTAAATCATGACTATCAATAACAAGGGCCTGACAATAAACCACTCCCAAGAGAACGAAGTCGGAAGCCATTGTCTTTTGGGGAGCGTTTTTAGTCGCACCACAATACCTGATTTAGTGTATCCCTTGCTTAAAGCCACAAGGAATTGATGTACTTGTCCTACTTCCACGGTACTCGTAATGCCTTTCAGAGGATTATAGTACCTCAATCCTTGGTCGATGTGCATCGAACTATATTCGCGCCAGACAGTAGTGGGATTGGCAAAAAGTCCGAAACAGGCGAGTAATGTCATATCGCCCATCCTGTCCAAAAGATCCTTCTCGGGGGCGTCGAAAAAGAGTGTGAGGAGAGACATGGGATTGAATTCACTGTTGGTGAAAATCTGGGGAAAGGGAGAACTTGCTGCACGAGCCGATGGCAGCGAACAGAAAGCCAGAACAATCGTAAAGGCTATAAAGTAGGAAGACAGTTTTCTTGGTCTGGAGGCCAATTTCAGAGATAAATTGCCACGTTCGGTAGTAGTAGACTGATGGAAGAGGTGATTCGAGCCCCGGGTGAAGAATCCCTGCCTGCGGATTGTCGCGTGACCCCAATCCAGTACTAATATTTCCCTCAAGGCGTCCCATATGTTAGCTATGCGGGTGGTGCATAGCCCAGAGTGCCAGCAGCTTTGTGGAATCATTGTTCGCGTGGAAATGGACCTCATCTTCTCAGAAATATGATTTCTGTCGTTCGCCATTGAAAGCTGTAAAAGCGCTTCTGATGCTATGGCGCTCGAAACCCTAGATTGATGATGCGTGAAACGATATGCAAGTGACTTTTGAGGAAGAGCAAGTAGATGGTCAATAGATGGTAATGTTTACATCGAAAAAAGGGATCAAACCTACGCGAGAATGATAACAGGGAAGAGTGCTTGAGTCCTGGAAATCGTAGTCAACACGCCTCGATTTATATAGACTGCAGAGGGCAATGCGACCTGGAAAAGTAAAAGTCCGGCAAGGTATAGTTCCTTCGAAAATTCGGTAAAACTGCCAAGATAAAAGGACCTGGATAGCAATGGAGCTCTGGTCAGAATGCTAAAAAGAAAACGTTCTCGTTACGTAGTTCGATGGCAGTGTAGAGACAGCCCCATGAGCGTTCTCAGTCCGACATGGGCCTTGCAAAGTGGTCAGGTGAGAGATATAATCAGTCAATCGCTTTGCCATTGGACACTAGCGTTACTTATTTAGCTGGATCATTGACGTCAAATGAACTTCTGTTGCTGCGAGATGATACGATCGACCCGGATAATCCCAAACACGATAAGACGTTGGGAAATCGAAGGTAGCATCGCAATGTGAATAGAAAATACATTTTCCAGATCTGAGCTGGCGTCGCCAGCCATCCTAATATGCGTCTTCGTATCGATACTCCAGTCTGTCGCGTGCGAGAAAAAGTCAGTCGGAAAGTGTAAGTACCAAACACTGGCAGGCACCACCTACTTTGGGTTGACCTATTATAGTCTGAGATATGAGACCTGATTACCATAAATGGGACCAATTGAGTGATAACAACCAGATCCTCCTCGCAACTTGCTATTAGATAACTTATCACGCGTGAGTGGTGATCTAACGACAGGCCATCACTGTTGCATAGAAGTCGTCAGTTGTAAGTTGCCATGCACATACTAGAACGATTTCCGCCTTTTCTGTGACTGTGCGGTTTGCGGTTTGTTGGAATGAGAAACATCGGGAAGTTTGTACTTGATGTAGATCTGTGTATGTTTTTGGCTGTGAGACGAGGAAGTACTATGCTTGCAGATAGTCTTATGGTCTTGGGTAGTAACAGTACCGACCGTGAACGTTTGAGCCAGTAACGAGTAATACAGAGAGAAACAACTAGGGCAATCAAGTCAAAGAGGACAGACTCATAAGAAATTGCGATGCGAAAAAAATCAAATTGCTTATCATTTAAGTCCAAGTCCAGGGCAGTCGACGAGACCCAGCTCAAGCATAGAAATCTCACCTCTGAGTCATTACACGGACCATACAGTGAAGCAGAAAACTGTGTATGTTCATCTTTCAACAATTGGACATTTCCTTCATGCTCATGCATATCCATACAGTACTCGTTGCAGTGCTCAGACACCCTCAATTCCTAAATCTTCACCAATCAGAACAGCTGCCTTTTCTCCAATGACTACTGCAGTAGAATAGGTATTCTGCAGGGTGAAAATCCACAAAAGCTTTAGAGGCAGGACTCTAAACATTGAGAAATAGATTTTTTTGAACGTACCGATGCGACATTGGATGGGACAATAGACAAGTCTGTCAAAGACCAATCAATAAAGTTCTAATGTAGCATATGGATCAGGAGGTATCACCCTTACCTGCGACTTTCAGATCTTTCACTCCATATACATTCAATCGAGGATCAACTACACCACCCCTTTCGCGTGGCTTCATCGCATTTGTTCCCGACTGACAAACAAAAATTGAACCGTTGACTACAAGCCAAGTGAACCCCAACCTACCGAATGGTGTCCACTTCCCATAATCTGACGATGGTACGTCTCAATGGCCTCATTATCCTCGGTGGTGTACGTAATGTCGGGTGCGTCAATGGGAACAGGCCCCTTGACCTCTCTACACGCCGCTGCACTTCCCTCTGGGAATACTGGGTGTTTGGGCTGGTATTCACCCCGATAGAGAGGGATGCGACGCGCGATCTCACGACCTTTCTTGTATGCGAGGCGTAAAACTGCGAGGTCGTAAGGACTGTTTTGGAATGAGTAACAAGTCCAACTGTAGCATCCACAGCGTGAAATTGGTAAACATAAGAAAATCTTACTCTTCTAGAAAACCAGGGTGAATTTCAGGGGGAGCATGCGGGTTTTTCCCGGATGTGATATGAACCCGGCCGACGGACGAAGGGTAACACTGAACCACAGGTAGGTAATTATTGGACAAACTAACTTGGAACATCCTCACAATGAAATAGCATGCTCCCATGTACTCGCGCTCTGGAACTCCTGCGTGATTTCCGACGAAACTGTCAACAAATTTATACAGTCAAATTCACATTTCAGGGCTCGCATAGAAGGGTGGGTGGGCAACCCGATCCTCTGATGAAACTCACCCAGAACACGGAACAATGATGGCAGCCGGTTTGTCTAGTTTGTGCTCGAAATCTGCTTTCCATTTCGCCCCGAACTCTGGTCCCAGCTCCTTCAGTTCTTCTGTGTTAGGTCGGAGCTTTATGGCTACGTCGTAGCCGCCAAAAGAACTTTAACGAAAAGCATTTCATCTCAGGTGAAGGAGCAAGCACGTGAAGACGAACTTGTGTGCGACAAGCCCATTACCTGTTCTCTTCCACAGATCTATGTTCCGGATCTCACTTATAGATGGCAAGGAAGCTGAGAAAGAAAAAGACGAACCAGTGATAGCACTCTCGTCACCACGGTGAACATGGCCTAAAGTTTCAGAATTGCTCTCTGCAAAATAGGCCGGCCAATTGACAGGATGGTCTGCGGGTTAGTATAACACGCGATGCCAGCAGCTGTATGTTAGATTCTCCACGGCTTATGAGCTGTGTGCATTGACACACCTAGATAGTTCTCGCCTACTCCTGGGAGATCGACAACCTGATGTACGTCATGTTTCTCCAAAACTGCCTTAGCGCCCACTCCCGATCTCTCAAGGATAGTTGGAGAACCAAATGCACCACCAGAAACAACGACCAGACGTGCAGCCTGCGCAAAATGGATCGTCTGATCGCTATTGGGATTATTCAACAGATCGTTGGTGTACTCCACTCCCACTGCACGGCCGTTCCTTGGTTTAGCACTTTCAGTAAGATGGGATATATAGGTGAGATGAGACCTTTACTCTATTACCACGCGTTTCACTATCTTCCCGGCGAGAATGTGCAAGTTCTTGTTGTGCCCTTGATTATATATGTAATGATGTGCCGTGTCTGACCGTTTTCCTGATTCCTCATCGACCCACCTGAACTAATCTCGTTAGGTATTCTTTAAATTTCATGCTGCGCACTCACTGAGCCCATCTCTATCCTCGGCATCAGAACGTACTCTGTGATTAACGTATGAAACTCACACTATATGCGTTGCAAGTGGACAAGTCATTGCTATCCTCTACACCAACGCGTCCTTTGTCGTATTTGAGGGCGGCTTCCAGACATTGCTTACTGACATTCGTGAATAGCCCTCCATAAGAAATTTTCAAAGGGCCTGAATACCCGTGAGTGGGTTCGCCAGGTTTGATTTGATAAGTTTCACTCTGCAGAGCCAATAAATAAAAACTGATTTAAGGCTGATCCATTAAGAGTAACATACTTTTCTCATCAGAGGGATAAGATCCTTGGCACCCCAGCCAGGATTGTCATGCAGGCGTTCCCAATCGTCGTAGTCCGACAACGAAGCCCTTGTGTACATCATGACTGTGAGGATACAAGAAACGTCAAGAACTATGGCAAATTCCAAATTCCACTCACAATTGATACTCGAACCGCCACCGACACAGCGTCCGCAATGCACACCAATGGCACGTCCATTGAGGTAAAGGGATGGTTCTGCGATGTGAAATGAGGTCGTCTCGCTGTTGGTTCCTGGTTTCACATTGGTAAGAAAATGAGTTGGCTGGGTATGCTTTTCGAGGTCTTTTGTGTGTGGGCCTGCCTCTACGATCAAGATCCTGAGCGAAGGGTCTGCAGTAGCAAGACGGCCGGCGATTACACAAGCTGCAGTCCCACCTAACCACAGATGCAGACGTTTTGATTGGGGACAATATGTAACAAACAGGCTATATAAAACATACCTCCTGCAAAGATGATGTCGAATTGATGATCCATCTGGGAGGACATGAAGACGGATTGTTCAGACGTTAAGACGTTCATGCTGTCACCTGACTGCTTACCTTGCTAATTATAAGACATGAGCCTGAGGGCAATAGACGCCATATAGGCGTACTCTTCCTTCTTATTCGGTGTAAAAGTGTAATACTGGTGCTTTCCTCGTGTATGTGGCAAAGAGAAAGCCTTGCTTTCAAGCGTTAGAGCAGAAATAAACTATGCCATAATCTAGCAAGCTCATTCTTCATGAGCTAATTTACGGCCTTTTCAATAGTAAGCCTATCGATGACGCATATATTGAGGTACTTGGGCGCTTCGCAGCCAAGGCCGATGATGATACATGCCTTCTCGTCGACAGCGGATCGATATGGAGTGATGATGATGTGCGTTGTTGCTTACTTGAATATATGTATAGCCCGCGTACGCCAGGTGAGAGGAGGATGTCGACAAAAACTCGAGTCCGAGTGATTAACAATGTTACTGTGACTATCAATCCAATTGCGCTGATTTACTGATTCTGGAACTGGGAACATTCAGTATTTTTCCACCACCTAATCCGTCCCTCTCAGAGTCTTGTCGATGATCAAACCGATATTTTTCATGTCAGAAAGAACCCTTTCAGATATAAAAAAAAATAACCTCTCATATCACAGCAACACGCTCGACTTGGCACGTCCCAGCTGCCCTAAAACATTTGTGAGAGAAAGAGGCACGTCGGAGATAAATGAAGCCCTACCCTATTGTCTCCTTCCATTTCCACCAAAGCTGTGGGAGCGGGACTAGAAAAAAGGGTGCCTAAACTTGAGATGTAGATGCATTGCGGAGTTCCACGGGAACACAATTGCGACATTCATCACGCCTGTCAGCGCATTCGCGGTCCAAAGCTGATGCACTCATAGGCAAGGAAGATCGCGGAGATATTGAGATAAGTATAGAGCATCCTCGTGCACGAAAAGAACGAGGCATGGAGCCATCGTAGTATTTGCCGTTTGCTTCGCCGCTATCGAGCTCATCCATCGATGGAGGCGATGAGCAAGTGAGCAAGAGAGGAAACAAGCAAAAGGATAGCCACCCACAGACGCCCATCGATCACGTAATTATTAAATTATTTATCTAAAAACGATAAGATGAATACTTAGCAAATGCCGCCCTGTTCGGTTGCCTTGCGGTCTTCGCAAGGCCGCTCCCTTCAGGCCTTTATCGAAGCTTTATCCACCACAAGAACAGTATATATACCCAACACGCATTTATTCTGTCTTCATCCGCACGCACGACTATTCTTTTTCAATCATGCCAAAACGCATTCCAACTCCACCGCCTGCAGATGACGAGCCCCGATATCTCTCTGTGGTCCATCCCTACGCCATGTATGGTCACAGCAATATGGAACTCCCAAAGGACAGGCAGGACTTTGCCCGCTGGGTAGCTTGTTGCATCGACAAGGATTCTTTTTACGCGTTCTTTCACAAACCTTCTGTGAGTTCATTTCTGATAGCGCAGGCTTGTCTGTTGTGTTATCGTGTGGCACTGTCACTGTGATGTCTGTGCGGTGGCGATGGCTGCAACCAGTGCTGATGAGTGGATATATGTGCTATCAGGCAAGGGATATGGTCATCATTGAAGTAGCACGCGACTATCAACACTTTGATCGCATTCTTGGCGAACATCGCTGGTCTGAATTTCTCGTCAATCCCACCGGAGAGTTGCAAGATCAAATTACCAGAGTTTACTACTGTACATATAGCACCGGTAGACAGGTCCAGAAATATGGTGCGTACAAGGATTACACCTCCATCTTCGTCTGAAAGCAACCTCGTTCTTCTAATCACTCTCATTTTCGATCCTTTCTATTGTTGCCCTCTTGCCCCCTGCTGCGTAATACTTCTTACATAATTGGGTTTCGGTTAAATATCAGGCTGGAAACGCGTCTTTGTTGAGGAAGACTGGTTCAAAAGCTGGTCTCCAAGGAATAGGTGCATGCCCTTACCTTGTTGCTCTTGCTATATCGTACTCATATTCGCCTCCAGTCTCATTAACTACCCCTACCCCTCTCCCCGGTTCTGTGACACTCCAGTTGAAGATCGCACCAATGAACCACTTTGTCGTCCTTTACCTGGTGCCATAGTAACTCCACCTCCAGAACTCATCCAGATCCCGACTCCAGGTGAGCCTTTCTCGATTTCTCATTCTGCTTTTATTACATCATTTTCCTCCCTCACTGTTGTCGTCCCGGATTTTTCGCATTCATTATTCTACTACACCATCTCTTCCTTATCTTTTCTTCCTATTCTGGCGTACATATGCTCACATATCGTCCACAACCTCATCTGCTCCATCGTTTCTTGCAACCACAGTCGTAGGCTCCGAGCAGTGGATCGCTACTAAGGACATCCCAGCGCCTATCGCTGCCCCCAAGCCCAAGCTGAGTGCCTGGGGAAGGGGAGCGCCCAAATCTGTCATTGCTACGAACATTAAGCCTACTCCAATAGTAAGGAAAAGCCCTGCAGTTGGTGGCGGGCCCATCAGTATCAAGGCGACGAATGTGTGTGAGTACCCCTTATATTTCTTAAGCTGAAGCAGGCAATCTTAATCAGTTGCGTGCCTTGATTCGTTCCTTACGCATCACATATATGTTCTCTGCAAATCAAGCCACCCGCGGTAGACCCAGTGCCTCTCCACGTTCAGCAACCAGTAGCAAATTGGACTCCCCCCATAACATGAACACTAGCCCAGCTACACCTGTCAATGGATGGGACTCGCCTACAGGGAGCGCACCCTCTCCAGCCCCTTCCTCTGCCTCGCGCACTTCTGGTGCTCGAACCAAAGCACCAGCATCAGCATGGGGCAAGCCTCCCTCAGACACACCCTCCGCTTGGGCAACAGGTCCCCCTGGTCTTCCTCCCCGAAATGCGAGTGCAGGCCCAGTCTCTAATGCACCTACTCCTCCTCCCGCCTTAGATCGCGTAGTATCGAACTCCACGTCCGCGTCAGATTCGGTGTCGACATCTGACTCGGTAGACTTCATCACAACGCCCGAGCCAGACGAATATTATAAATGGCGCGGAATTGGGGGGTACGGCTCGCATGAGATTCATGAAGCAATGGAGGATCTAGGGATCGAGGACCCTGAGAACATCGATCGCGATGCTCTCGCTCCATCTTACCACAAAGAAGACGAAGACGGTTTTCAAGGAGGCTTTGCCGGACCTGAGTCAGTGTCTGCTGACCAGGACGTGCATTGGGACGACAATCTGTGGGGCGACGACGCGCAAGAGAAGAAGCCTGCGGTGATACTGTGCTCTGCTCATGGCGTCATATGCAAGAAGGGAATCTGTCTCGAATATGCGAAGCAACTTCGTGAAGCCGAACGGGCCAAGAAGATAAAAGAGCGTGAGGCGGGGGCTGCAAAGGGCAAGGGCAAGCGTGGAAAGGCTGACCGCGGGAATGCCAAGGGCAGAGAAAGAGACGAGGATTGGGAAAGGGGATCGTTGCGTTCACGCGCAGTATCGGTTGCGAAGAATACTACTGATGATGGAAGCAGTGTCAGTGGTTTCGAGAGTGGATGGGGCGGAGGCGCGGGACGTGGGGGAGCCCCACGCGGAAATGCGTTCAAAGGTAAGGGAGCGCCCGTCAGGACTAATTGGAAGGGTGCGGCGAAACCTGGTCTCGCTCCTCCGCCTCCTCCGCCTCCAGCCCCAGCTCCAGCTATAAAAAGCAAAAAGAGAAACGAAGAGGACAGCTGGGGACCGCCCGTTGACGACTGGAACGACCCTTTGGATGATGATGACGCCCCTTCTGTGTTGAACCTGCAACCTACTGGTACACAGCCTACGAGCTGGGCAGACGAGGTCGAAAGGGATTTCAGTGGCGGAAATGGCTATTCTGCAGCGAACAATAAGAAAGGACGAGGAAGGGGTAGGACTCGTGCTGGAAGTGATGCGAGAAGTGTAGCGCAGAGTACAACAAGTGGATGGGGAACGATTTCGGAGGGACCTTGGTGATTAGAGACGCAAATGATCAATACCTGCTTACGCTTTGCTCCTACTATCGCAAGTTCGTTTGCACAATTATTGTACTATAGTTATGTTGCACTTATCTATGCAAATTTGCGGACTTTTCTTGAGTGTCGTGGTTGTGGCAGTGCAATAGACCCTATTTCGCCTAGAGCCATGATGCATCATAGACCTTTTCAACTTGCTTTCCACCGTCTGGTGTCGGTTACTACTCGGTTGGGTCGTTTCACACACATCGTCACTGAAACGCTTTAGTAGCTTTCGCTCTACTTCTTTGCTGTCGAGTGCAGCCAAGGTTCAAGGAGAAAAAACTACAGCTAAAGTTCTCAGGATGAAACTCTGGGAAGGCGTATCAACTGTACTGGCGTTTAGGATAATTCCAACCACAGTGCTTCTGTTCGTCGTCTATGCTGCAGTGTTTAGCACCGTACTTATAACGGACGAGCTTCCTGAAGTTCCTAAAACTACAGGGGGACTTGACTTGGACCAAGCATATGCAGATCTTCAGCAGGTAGCCTCGCACCCCACTCAACGATTCTATTCTTTATTGGAAAAATCTCACATTGTTCCCTCAGATAACCACACGCCCTCATCCGTATAATTCGCATTCAAATGATCTTGTTCACTCCTACATTCTCTCTCGTCTTCAATCCGTTGCCTCCCAATATCCACATGTCAGTGTATGCGATGATGTAGTCTCGAATGCTTCGTGGGGTGGTGGGCTGTTGTCCACCCGTCCGTATGGAGTCTATTTCGAAGGAATCAACATTTTGGTCAAGATTGATGGCACGGAATCGGAGTACTCAGACAAAGGGGGTGTTCTGTTTTCTGCTCATTATGACTCGGTATCTACAGCACCAGGGGCTACAGACGATGGGATGGGAGTGGTTACATTAATCCAAATGGTGGAATATCTTTCCAAGGCGAGGCCAAAGAGGACTGTTATTTTCAACATCAACAATGGCGAGGAAGATGGTCTAAATGGGGCTCATGCGTGAGGCATTCCTTTTCGAATCAGTAAAACAAACAGTATACTCATCGGTGAATGCTTTCAAGGTTTATGAAGCACCCGTGGTCAAATATCACGGACGTTTTCTTGAACCTTGAAGGAGCAGCTGCCGGAGGGTGAGTATTCTGTAACGAACTTGAATATAAATTGTTTAAAAGCGTTGATTTTTGTCTAGTCGTCCGCTTTTATTTCGTGCTACTTCTTCGGCTCCTTTGCGATCGTTCTCAAATGCATATGTCCCCCATCCTCACGCCAATGTTCTTTCTGCAGATGCTTTTGCTCGCGGTGTCATTCGATCCTCTACAGACTACTCTGTGTATGAAGAAGGTGGTATGGACGGGCTCGATTTCTCCTTCTATAGGGGACGAAGCCGATATCACACAAAATATGATTCTATACCTGGCATGGCAGGGGGTGTAAAAGCTTTATGGGCAATGATGGAGGCAACGAAAGGAGCAGGTGAAGCATTGGCAAATGAAGACAATACACACGCAACTGGGGCAGGCGAGCAAGGAGATAAACCAGTTTATCTTGATCGTGAGTTTTCCCTGCGCTAATCAGCATGATGAGTTAGTCGTCTCTAATACCGCATCTGTAGTATTTGGTGCTGCTTTGATCATTCTATCTCGCCAAGTTCTCTTTATCACCAATGTCATTCTCTTGGTCGTTGGTCCCGTGCTGTTGCTTCTGCTAAAGTACTCCGAACATATCATCAGACTCAGTCGACGTTTACGTCACAGGGAAGGCCGTCCTACAAATGGGGATGTGTCTGGTGACGAAATCTCGAGTGGACCACGTAGAGGGTTCAGAGAACATCGTGGCTGGTTTAAAGGTCTATGGACACGGGCGAAATTTTGGGTGGCTATTATTGTCGGAGTGGGCCTTCAAATTTTGCTCGTTCTAGGATATGTGAAGTTAAATCCTTTTGTGAGTAACATATCATGTCCGAAACATGTGCCGGTTTCAGTTTGTTTAATTATCTAACAACAACAGATTATACACTCGCGTCCATATCTGGTTTTCGTGTCGACGTTATCCCTCTGCTATCTGACAACTGTCCTCATAATGAAATTGCCTCTCACAAAGCAATACACCGTAGCTGAACCGGAGCAACAGAAGCTGTCGATATTATTGCAGACCTACATACTCACGTGGATCTTGCTCGTGTTCTCGACAATCATCTTGCGCAGCAGTGGGTTAGGTGGGCTGTACTTCATTACCGCCTGGAATGCAGTGGTCCTCTTGGGCAGTGTTCTAGCCTGTGTAGAAGGCATGACTGGTGCAAGAGGTTTCGAGGCTGGAGACTCTCAAGGAGATCTGGACGGTCAAGATTCTCGAAGGCTTGTTAGAGGTGTTCGATATCAGGCTGTTGACTTTGGCGATGAACCTACTGAGGACGAGGGAGTAATCGAAGAGACGGCACCTACAGAAATCACTCCACTCATCCAACAACAACGATCGCCGTCCCAATCGCAATCCGAACTCCCACGACTTATTGATGAACGAGAGCAAGGTGCGATTGGATGGTGGATTCTTCAATTATTGGTCGTTGTCCCTTTGCCTGCTATCTTGGTCTTCCACATTTCCGTGATCTTACTTGCTGCTATGAATCAGACCCTAACTGATGGAAGCAACCCAGTTTCAAGTAGGTTATTTTTACGTTGGTACATTTCCTTGGACTAATGTTTTGCATCTAATCTCCCTAGTTTACGCATGTTGCTCAATTTTGGCGCTGTTGGTTATCCTTCCTCTTGCACCATTCGGTATCAACGCCCATCGTTCGCTTACAATCCTAATACTTCTTATCTTCATCGTGTCCACCGCTTATAACTGGTTAGAGTTTCCCTTCTCTCAAGAAGCACCCTTGAAGGTGTACTTCTATCAGAATGTTAGCCTGGATACCTTGGGATCGGGAGTAGAACGTGTTGTTACCACACTCACAGGGCCGGAGGGCTATCTAGTTGGTGATATCATCCCTCTACTTCCATCTTCAGCAGGCAGACATGTGGAATGTCGAGACTCCGTGGGGAAACTTGGGCTACAGGAGTGCATGTGGGAAGTAGGAAAGGATGATGAAGACGCATGGGTGCCATCACCTGGAAGCTTACCGCACCATGAGTCAAACCACGAGACTCCCTGGGTGTCCGGGTCGGTAAAGAGGATAGGCAGCAACAAAGCGCAGTTCATAGTCTCAGGAAGAAACACGAGGTCTTGCACTATCCAGTTCGAAAATCGACGCGTCACCAGCTTTAGCATCGTGGACGACGAAGACGAAGCTGGTAAATTCGAATACCGCAGTGAGTCAAGTGGATTGGAACGCATACAACTGTGGAGTCGTGATTGGGGCAAGGAATTTGTTGTTGAGGTCGAGTGGATAGATCCAGACAACAGTTATGTAGCTGCGGGCGATTTTTCGGGTTCAGAGGTTGAGGTGACGGGAAGGATCAGCTGTGGCTGGGCAGAGTATGAAAGTGCCACCGTTGGAGGCGGAAACTCCGGTGGTAAGATCCCCTCTCTGGAGGAGCTATTGATGTTTTTGCCGGAGTGGGCCGTAGTAAGTAAGGCGAGTGCGGCTCTATTTGAAGCTGGAATCCCATTCGTGGTATGACGCACATGCTTGCGAGACCAAGGAACCGAGGTAAAGGTGTCCGGTAAGTAAGGCTCGTTCTCCGTCCCGTCTGTCTATCTAATATGGAGTTTAAGTGACGCTACAGTGCTATTTATATCTCTCCGGTCAATGTATATTATTGTCATGATTGTCATGAGCACATGTATAACATATTTTTCTTATGTCAACTCGACAGAAAGGCTGTCTTCACACAAGGTACTGAGACTCTGTTCACCCTGTCCTATCTCGATCTGACAGCGATACAACCGATAAATCAGCGCAAACACTATGATGTATATTATTATGGATGCAGTGGCATCCTTGCCTTAGGCTTCATACCTTAAAATTTACCCACTTTTTTTTTTTTAGCGAACACCCCTCTTGTATTTTCCGTCGCCGTAGAAAGATCCTCGAGAATCAGGGCCCCACAACCCATGCCGCCTCTCGCCGCACCATCCATGACACGTCATGTACAAGAGCCGAGTCCCAAGAAAAGAACCAGCTTATGCCACTCCCCCTCAGGCAGCCTATCCATATCCTGCTCTACACCTTATCAGCTATATTTACGTCTGCGATACCCTCTTGCTGGAAATACCTCCACGATACCGGTTCCACCAATGTTTACAGCTGAATGGAGTTAGTTATACTTTGAGTGGTCTTGTGGGCATACCATTGTTATTATTGGATGCGGCACGTTCTGACTGATCACCTATCCCCATATACTTCGCCACTCTCTCGTTTTTGTGAGATATCGATACTCGTTGCAGCAGATTTATGACAGCGACACTGACACCGAATAGGTATAAGATTTTATGAAACCATTCGAATGTTAGTTATGAAGTAGAGGTGAAGTCCACTCTAGCATGAACTGTACTTTGCACAAACTGATATCTGTCAATGTTATATTTACTTTCACTAGGGGTCATACTCTTTCCAGTCGAATGTGGTCGATTATACTAGACCTCGGCCCAAATATATGAACCGGACTAACTCAGTTTGTCGTGTGAAATAGGCACCTATGCCTTGGTCCGGTTCCGCTACGCACCTTCAATTTCGGAGACAATGGTTCCGAGCGAGGGTAAGTCACACATTATAGGTACACTGTGATTGGTCCTTTACTGACATCGGAGTAATGCCACGCGGATCCCAGGTGTCTCAAAGGAAGGAGCCTCAAGAAGCCGTACTGTGTTTTTTCCCGCAACGTCTTCGTGTAGCCTTCATCCCAAATTGTGGGGTAAGCCATCATCCTGGCTACGTTCTTCTCTAAGCTCATGCTCCTTTCTGGCTTATTACCGTGTGCAAATCGATAGATTTATTCATGCATATGCATCGGCACATGATGTGCTGCATATTTGTATCTGGTGAGAATGCCGGCAGCCCAATCTTGGAGCCTAAAGTCAAGGCAGAATCGTGGCACTTTACAGTGGCATCTGGGCATTCACTGGGCGAGGCTGACTCCAGTCCCGGATCAATATCGCAATAAGGTGCTGTTTGCATTTTTTGGGTTTCCTCTCTATTAATTCCATTATAGATACCGCCCCTCGGTTTGAATTGTTCATCGCGACCCGAGCCGCACGAAGTCCCTAAGTATCATTCCCCTATCCTTGTTTTCCACGTGCTCCATCCTCAACTAGTATCCTCCCTGTGGATTTTCTTACACATGTACGGATTTCGGAGCCTTTATGCTTCAATTATCAAGACTGAAGCCCTAAGGCTTTAGGGGTCATGGATCATTTTTATTTGGTTGACTGCTTCCGGATTTGACAATCGTGACAGATCTATACCACAAGGCAATTACATATGGTGGAGTCTTGGCTTACACCGAGATTGCTTAGAATGAAGGCGTGGAATGTGTCCTATCACAATATGTATAAAGCACTAAATTTCTAGTGAGTGTCCAAGACTCTTCACCTCGTGTCATAGCCTTTTTTCTTCATGGTCATGGTGAAATCAACCACCTCCTTGTTCATCTGTGTCCTAATGACAGGCACATTCGCCTCACTGAAAGATGAACACTGCTATCACGACCCACTTCCTCATATCCCAATTTCTTCAGCCAATCGAACTGTTCCATGGGGTGAACCGTCTATTACATTCAGCAATGGCACCACATGCTGTTCATCGTTGGACCAAGTTCGAGATGGAATTAATGCGGTAGACTCACAATTACTGCAGTTGTTGTCTGACAGGTATGATTATGCACGACTATGCGACTTTTTCCGCCTTACCGAGATTATTGCGTTTGGTAGGGCTGCTTATGTCCGAGAGGCGACAAGATTCAAATCTACTTATGCCAGCGTCAATGTGCCTTCCCGGGATAAACAAGTAATACAGGGTGCTGTTGATGCCGCATCTTCAGTTCACCTGCCACAAATCGTCGCCAAAAAGGTTTACGAGGCCATCATCAATTCAAGCATCATCTTCGAGTATTGTGTGGTACGTCCGATTTTCTCTCACCCTCACACCGAGTTTCCTAACGCAAAGAAATAAAGTTCGACTCCTATCACGGAAAGAGTTAGCTGTTCGCCGCCATGATTTTTTATGATTTCTGTTATCATCGCCTACTACGTCAGTTGTGTTAACTTATTAGAGTTTTTTTTAAGAGAATGGGGCATGTAATTTTAGTTCTAGATGCATCTACAGATGTGAATTTTGATTCATATATATTCCAAGTCGTGTCCGGAACATTGGGACTTGCTGTTTTCCATTGGAAAACGCTCCCTATAGCTTGGCTGCCAAGTCTCCTTAGGCTTATAACTACGGGAGAAATAACCACGATAGTAATTTGGTACATATCCCGAAGGTACCTGGCGAGCTCCCCTCCATATGTGAGGAAAACACATAAAGAAATTGATCCTCGTAAATTCACATACACTCGTGGCGTTACTAGTTATTGCGCAAAGGCTGTCCGGCAGGAGTTCGTTCCGAACGGCACCCTCGTGTTTCGCGGGGTTCCGATATCCGTTACCTGGCCGCATTTACGCCATACCATGAAAGCCTCCGAGCCGCTAGTGTCTCATGCCAGTGCCAGCGTTACAGTAAACCCATACCCCGTTATCCTTCAAAACACCGTAGTGCTTGCGCTTGCAGCCTTCGACACCTTAAAAAGACGGAATCAACTAAGACATTTACCAGAAGTAACTATGAGGCATTGCAGATGCTTTCGACGGGCGACTTTCAAGTTGTCTCTGTGACCGACATATTGTTTTCATATAACTTGAAGCCGTGTACAAAATAGTAGTTTAGGTGAGTCTCTTAGAAAACGAAGACATATCCTCATGTTTTTTGCTCCTTGTTGTCGAGAGGTGAGTTTGTCAGGCGGAGCGATGTCTGAACGGAATGATTAGTGTCACTAACAGCACTGCATGATCATTATGCATCATGTTTCGCGTCAACACAAATGGTTGACTGTTCTTCGTACGGCTGGTGCCACTGATCCAGGTTTCTATCCAGTTGCACCTTGGTTGCACAATGATGGGCGTATGACAATCATTCTCAGGGAAATTTACCGCAACGACTGTCAATCGGTATTCGTCCCGCTGGATTCTTATCAGCGGAAAATCTTTGATGCTTTAAAGGCATTGTCAACGAATACTGTCGTCGGGCAATAAGTCAACGCAGCTCTCCAAGCTCAAGCTCAAGTAGCCGGTGATATTGATCCATTCTGCTAGAAATTGCGCCAACACGAGATCGAACTATCTTGTTCCCTCGCCCTTTCTCATGCATGAGCTGTGCTTTTATATCATGGATCTCGGCTGGGCACCTTACTCTTCGCAAAGGACATCATCGTTAAGTTAGCACGTGGAGTGGCTGCTTTCAGCCACCTCCAGATATCCTACTGTGGGTCGATCACTTTGATATCTTGGTCTATGCTGACCTGTACATTCGATCCCGAGTAGGAAAATTTCGAGATGATTCGCAGGAGAAAGAATATAGATATAGCAACTGATTTTGTTCTTAGGTGTACTATCATACGATTATACGAGTACTCTCACGAGCAGGGGTATTGATTTAACCTGGTATCACTAGCATCTACCAGAGTCGCAGTTAGTTTCTCCGTCACCGGTATTTTATCTCGGAATCCTTATTCTCCACCTTGAACTGATTCACCCGAAAAGGCACACCAGGCACTGAGATCAATGCTGAAGAACTATGAGGCAGTGAGGATAGCCTTGTTATATATCAGCCCTGTTTGACGCTGATATGTAAATGTGCGCGCGAATTCGGCCCTTGACTGCAAAACTCAGTGTGTATGGGTTGACAATGTTGTCTTGAGTGCTATCTCCTTTTAGTGCTCTCATGCATGTACGGTGACAATGAGCAAATCCCTAGGGTCTACTATATCTACCTTTGGTAATCAATTCTTTTCGACCAAGCTCAGCTCCTAATGGGGGTATGTAGTACCTGCCAATGATCTCTCACGCCTGTACTAACCGGCAATGCACTGCTCAGACCTGGACAAGCTTGACAGCTAACTCGATCACCGTCACGGTAGTTGCTAGAGACTCCAAAATAATAATAATTGACGGAAGGCGAATGTCATGGCCGATAAAGAGGCTGGACAGGTTTTTGAATTTACTTTATAAGGTCTTTTGAATACTTTGGTTCTGCTGCTGCTAGACAGTCAGTGCTAATTTACTATGTCCTCTCCGCCTTTTCCCCTTGGCCCTAATTATGGCGCAATGTTCATGTCGACCTTGTTGTGCGTTGGCTTCTGGGGTGTCGCTTGCATGCAAACGTGAGTACCTGTTGATCAGCGTTAACGTCCGCCAGTCTTTTGATGTTATATCTACAATATTATAGCTTCATATACTTTGTCAGGTGATCAAGGCCTTTCTCTGCGGCTGAACCAAAGCGTTAGTTATGCTGAATTACATTGTATTAACATAGCTATCAAAGCGATAAACTAATTTTCAAACTTCTGGTAAGCACTTACTTCGTAATTATCATTGCGCTTCATAATCGTTCTTGCTGCTTTCTCCCTTATAGGTTCTATTCGTCTGGTGAGCAACTCAATATGCTTCCACATTGTCCACCATCCTAACGTCTCACGACGAAGTCTCCTCGACACGACGCACCAAATTATGATTATACAAGGAGGTAAAAACACTTTCACGCGTCATTGTCCTTTCGATCTTACATTTGTTCCAGTGTACACGTACTTCGTTCCCCAGTTCGGAAATTACTCTGAATTCTCTACAATTATACCGTGAGTGCAGCTATTATCCCCTCAGACCTGTTAGCTGATTGATAAGTTTTGATATCCAGGACGTTGATAGTACGTGATACCTGCTATAATTTTTGAATTATTGATTCTATTCCGTCTTCTTGACTTAGTGGGCACCACTTATTACTGTCAGTGAATTCCTGTCTTTTGTATTCTACTGTTCTTCCTGGTAGCTGATGCTCTGACCCTAAGACGGTTGTTGCTATCATCACACAAAGTTTTTTCATATACAGAATATGGAAATGTGAGCGGCTGTCGTGCATTATCCCGAAATAGCTGATTTGACATCAAACTAGTTAATGAGAAGCCACTAGTGGTGCCGTGTCTTTGGGTGAGCCTACTTTCTAAAGTGCTCTCAGAAGCGAATAACTTGACGCTGTTGCCATTGCAAGTTTCCAGTAGCCTTGTTCGAGTTAGGTAAATGGCCCCCATGAGTCTCTGATAGTAAACTAACAATTATCACTCACAGCTACGTCCATTGGTACCGCCTCTTTCTTTCCTCACTCGATATTTGACCTGTACTAATTCTTCATGCAGCTTATGTTTCCGGAGCGTATGTCAACGTAGCTCCGAATTATGTGACCGAGACTCAGAGTACTCTTATTTATACAGAATAAATGCATCGTCTTCAGAAGCCTTAGAGGGTGGATTCCTGAAGGTTAGTCGTTCTTTATCACCTTCACCTCACCTTCTTATGCCCGATCACCCTTGTTCTTTCTTGCCTTAGCCTATCACTATCGCATATTTCGCAGTTACTACTTCCGTGGACTTGACCATCGCAGCCAGCCTAACCTACATGTTCATCTATCAGACTAAACAGATTCCTGGAGGAGACGGCCGGTGAGTATATCCACTTTTTACGTGACCAGGAGGAGACAAACTTACTTTTCGTAACTTTATCAAGCTCCAAGCGGATGGTTCACCGGCTGGCGATTTACTCGATCAATAGTGGTGCTTGGACCGCGATATTCTCAATCCTTGATATGATCTTGGTGAATTATATTCTATGCTATTTTCTGAACCTACGCTCGGATTGCTGATATGGGTTCAATTAGTTCGTTGTTTTCTCTTCAAACGCACTTTATGTCGTGTTCGATTTCCCCCTCTGCCCCCTATATTGCAACATGTTACTGGCAAATCTGAATGTGCGATCACATTTGCGGGAAATGGGTGATACAATGGACGGGAAAACATCAAATGATGCGGCGTCATTCATAGTGCATCGCTGTGCTAATCTCAAGGATAGCGAGCCCGAGGTAGGTGGTGTTATTCATTTTTATCGCTTGTATGACGTGTTGTTTATGAACTCTTTTCGAAGACGCAGGATGTGATATTCACCCAGAGAGTGATACCTATACCGAGAACTCCTGTGATCAACCACCACTGGGATGATAGCCTACGCAGTCATCCATACTCCAAGGGATCTATCAGCAATCATGTATAAATGTTAAATTCGAACATGTACGATATCTTGCTTGATAGTAGCATGATTTGGGTGGTTTTATGGGCATAATGAATAGGTAAAATAGGTAGCATCTGATCAATGTACATTTAGTTACCAGACTTGTAGTACTTCAGTAGATCATTGTAGTTGTGGACTCATATCATCAGTTCCTCTATGTTTACATTCGTTTCTGTGGTTTGTACTGGGGTCACGGTGAATGATCCTGAGCTGGAGTCTTTATAATTACGTTAGTTTGTATGGCCGAGCGGTGGACTCGGAAATTTGGTCCAATGACTTGACTCCCCAATACCATAAGCAAGGACGGGCGAAACTGTTACAACAGTGCTTTCCTTGATTGCTTCAAGTTTTTGTGGATTTCGTACTAGCTGATAGGCATGCATGGAATAGTACGGTTGCGAACTCGTGCAGGACCACTACAAAAGTAGGATGAAATCTCGTAGTTCTGCAACCACATACTCACCTTGTTTGCTTAAGGAATATCTCTCTACGATATGGATCACGAATAAGCATATACAACAGAGGTTATTCGAGTCAGAGTCCATCCAACACCACTGTCGTTCATTTACAACGGTCAAACATCTATCGGTTTGGTGACTCTAATATTGCTACACCTGTTTTCAAGGACGTCGATTGGGTCATTAAAGACGAAGAGAGTTGGGCGGTGATTGGCAGTGGTTCTGGTCAAAAAACAGCGCTATTAAGGGTACGTCTAATCTCATAGCTTTACTAGTGTGACGTTGGCAAACCTGACTTCACCACTGGCATCGTGTGGTTGGTCTTAAGACTCTAGTTGGTCACTTGCGTATATCTCCTCCACCCCCACCCCCAGGAGGCCTGTTCCCATTCCTTTCAGACCCTCCTCGCGACCCCCACCTATGTGTCTCTTTAGTTTCCTTCGCCCACAGACCACGTTCTGCAGGTGGTGCATTTTATGACTACACTGCGCGTTATGGTGCAGTGCGAGAAGAAGATCGCGTCACATTGAGACAGAGCGTGTTTGGGGAGTTTGATTTCTTGAATGTCAACCCAAAGGTTGACAATTCTGTCAAAACACCAGAACAACTTGCCGAAGAAGCGAATAAAAAACGTATTTTCGAGGAAATGTCTGAAAGGCTGGGCTTGTCGTCTCTATTGGACTTACCGTTTGTTGCACTCAGTAATGGCCAGACGCGTAGAGCTCGAATAGTCAAGGCCATCCTTTCTCAACCAGAACTATTGCTTTTGGATGAACCTTTGAGTACGTGTCCCAATTCCGTTTTTAGCAAAATTTTTCATTGTGTACCCTTTTGCAGCCGGATTGGACGTGAACAGCCGCCCCACACTTCTTTCTGTCTTGCACTCTCTCCATGTCGCGTGTAAACCCCGCATAATCATGGGATTGAGGACACAAGACCCTCTTCCGGACTGGATCAGCCATCTTGCTGTTGTGAGAGATGGAATAGTAATAACCGGAAAGAAGGATGAAGTTTTGGATTTGGAGGCAAACCGAAAAGACAAAATAGACGAGGCTCGGTCTGTTGGATCGACTTACACTAGACAAGTACAGGCTGACGACGGGAAGGTGGTGGTTGATATGAAAAACGTGAATGTTGGATATCAAGACCGAAAAGTAAGTCTTATCTGGGATACCATGTGAGCTCGATCTGATCTTGAGGCCAGGTTCTCAAAAGTATTAACTGGTCGATCCGAGAAGGTCAGCGCTGGCATTTACAGGGCGCCAATGGTAAATCATCATTTATCCCTCCTTGAAATACGAGCTTATCCTACTTTATTCAAGGTTCTGGGAAAACTACTCTTCTTTCTCTCCTTACTGGAGATCACCCACAATCATACACTCAGCTTCCTCCTGCTTCACACCTACAGCTTTTCTCTCGCCCCAGAAATCGCATCCCAACACCGCATCTACGCTCGTTGACAGGTGTCGTCTCACCCGAACTGGGCAACGCATATCCACGCAGGCCTGGTGTGAGTGTTTGGGAGGTGGTTGGCACAGGATTCGATGGTGCGTTCGTACCAGGTGGGCAAGATGGTGTTGGAATTGGACTAGAAGGAGGTCTGAGCGGCGAAATACGGGCATGGAGAGTTAAAAGGGTACAAGAGGTGCTTAAGGGGTTGGGACCAGCTGCTTGGGCAAGGGAAGCGAGTACCGAGGAAAATCAGGAAACCATCCCGACCAGCGAGCCAGGGCCACTATGTAAAACAGACGCAGCATTTGCCAAGCGGGACTTCATTGACCTCTCCGCTGGCGAACAGAGCATGGTGCTATTGATGCGTGCGCTCGTCGGTTGTCCTCAGCTGGTTCTGTTGGATGAGGTATGGAGTGGGATGGATGATGTGATGATCAAGGCTGCGCGAAAGTACCTACGAAATGGAGGTATTGGGCCTGACCAGGCAGTTGTAGTCATCAGCCACTGGGAGGAAGAGGTACCATGGGGTATTGAGGATGGATTACGAAGGTTCAGACTAGACGATGGGAACGGAAAAGAAGTCTGAGCCCCTCCTTGTAGCTCTTTGAAACTCAAATACTGCTTGAACGTGGATCTAGAAGAATAGAGACTCATTTAAGGATCTATTTGTTGGTTTCAGCGGCATGATTCTCCACTCGAACTGTCTACGCAGGCACATATATCTTTACCATGACACCCTGTGTGATCCAACCAACATGTCGAATCCACAAGAAGTGTACTATATGGTATTATTGTACAAGGCTGCGATAATCAAGATAACAATGTAGAGCTAAGTGTAACTAGATAAACCGTACCAGATACACGGATGCTTACAGAAGACGTGCTCCCCCAAGTACCGCGTATGCTAGTCCCTCCTAGGCATACCATTTGATAGGAAGATATTCGTTCACTTCTACCAACGCACGTATATGTAAACTCCTCCTACAGGTATCCACTTTTTATTTATTTATCACTAGGTTGTTTCGACAATGAAGCTGGAGGCTTTCTCTGCACCAACTCTGGTCATCGTTTCTTCTTTATCACACTCGAAGAAGTGTTCGAGTGTTTCACCATCCTCTTCCATGGTTACAATCAATAGTAACCTTGCACTACGAATGCACATATTAGTTTCGAGTCCATGAAATTGTCACGAGACATTGACCTTTCATAATCCAGGTTGAAAGATTTGCAAGCACCTGACAAGACTTTGCCAACTCGAGTCTGGCCCTTGGTTTTAAAAATAGCTTGCTGCTTGGTGGGACGATGCGCTATGCTGACCAGAAGCTTCTCGTCATTAGTATGATTCGAAGCACTTTCTTGAACATTTTCTGCAAATTCAAAGTTTCATTGAATGGTCAACCAGCGATTGAAGTACCAAGCGCTACCTTCCTGAACGCCAGTCGTCTTGCCGACATGGGAATTCCCAGATTTTTTGTGTAACGGAGTTTTTTCCTCTACAGTGTCGTGAAAAGCGTCGCGTCAGCTATCCATATCAGGGTGGCCGTAAAAAGCAACTTACTTTGGAAGGACATGCCACCAGAAATGGGCTCCTCTTTTACCTTCGGGAACTTCGGCTGCTCTCGTGAGGGAGCTGGTTCAATAACAGGACCCTGATCGCGCCTTTTTGGAATATCCTCGAATACGCTTCTGCCACTTTCGTCATCGTCGTGATCATCAGGTTCGTCAGGCTCACCCATGGGGTGATCGCTGTCGTCTTCATCATCAGACATGACTTGCCGTAATAGTTGTCTCTTCTTTGGAGATTTTATTCGCATCGAAGCATCGTCAGATCCATCAGAATCGGAAGTTAAAGCCTGGTCTTTCAGAGATGGATCCGCCTGTCGAGGGTCGTGGCGGCTGTGAATGCTGCTAGAGTGTGGAGAAGGTAGAGAATTCATCACGTTTTGCTCTGTTCGGGCACTAGCCAAGACATCATCTTCTCCCAGTGGTTCCAACGCGCCCGGTACACGGTAAGCTGCAGCGTTAGACACAATAAGATCGCTATCTGGTAACAGTCACGAATCATACATTAGCGGATAAAGAAGTTACTTACCTGCCCCAAGAGGTGCACGAGCTGTGGTCGTAACAGAAATGTTTCCGGTCAACGAACGAACAATATCCCAAGCGCCTTTGTGTATCCTAACATCTTTTTCCTCGCATATATCCAAATCTCTGGTGTGAAAGATCAAATTTTCATCTGCCAAACTAAATTCCACTCGTGCTACACGTTCCAATTCCTGTATGATCGAGTCACCACTCAACATCGAGAATAGTGCCACCGGCATCAACAGACACCTACCTCATAAGTATTGGGTGTATTGACAAGCACTCGCTCCTCATTGTAAACGAGGACTAGCAATGGCGTTCTTGGTTGAGGGTTGATAGTGGATACGGTAAACTTCATGTGTACTGGGAAGTCACTGTATGATACTGACAATCCCAGGTCCAAGCTTAAATCAAGATCGAAAGCAAACACAACGATGGGAAGGGAGACTAATTCAAGAAACAATAGCCACTTACAAGGTCACCAATTGCAACCAGCGTTGGAGACTTGGAGTACAAAGACCGTCTAACAGCTGAGGAACTTGAAAAGCAAACTTCAAATTACCTTATTCGCGCTACACGCGTTATGCTCACGTGTTACAGTCTTATCTCTGTTATCCTATCATGTCTGTGGATCCAGAATTTGAGGCCTTAGAGACATCCACTGGAGCGTACTACTTATGCTTCGCTGAAAATTGCACGCGAGCACTTCAAAATCCAGATCAATGATTTCAGTGATGGCCTTCTGCTTTATCATCCGAAACCGTGACAAGACCAAAGATCTGGAAAGTATTCGTACATACAACATGATAACGATCAGCGGGTTCATTTGCTTTCTTCCAACCTTGCTTCAGTGCGATGATGTCGCCAACTTTAATATCCTCTGTCAATATTTAAGGAAGGGAGAGAACGGTTTCCATAAACTGATCATAATTGAGTTGGATCCATCCATCCCGGTCAGTGTCCATCCTGCGGAATCTCTCACTGAGCTGTTTGATGACGACACAAGCACGGACGAAGCGGTCGAAGGAGATTCCTGGAGGAGGGCCACCGCGGATAACCATAGTAGAGGCTTTAACGTCTACCCAGACGGGTAGAATAGTTAGTATTCCGTTGAGCTCTCAAAAGCACTATATGCATTCACCGTATTTCCTTTGAACGAGATTCAACAAATGCGGACTGAGATCATAGCTGAAGAAATTATTAGCTATCAGTTAAATTGATTCAGTGCAATATAACCAACCCAAACTGTCGAAGTGCTTCGTGCAGCTCTTGTCCATCGATAGATCCCGACAAGTCGCGATCAAAATGTTTGAAGACGTTTTGCCAGTCCTGAGTGCTGGGCTTCAATGAACGTCAAAATAGATTGCGATAGTACTCACTTTGATGTATTTCCATAGACCAGAAAACTAGGAACTCGATGAGCCAAAGTTTCCAGGAAAACAAACCTCTAGTGCAAACCTCGTTAAATCCGATCGTACCACTCCGATCAACATCCTACTCTCAGAATTTAATGACATGAAATCCAACAAACAAAAAGCATAACGCACGAATAAGGTCATGAGAAGCTTGACGGTATCCAAATCGAAAGCTAGTGGCTAGTTCAGATTCAGTCCAAACAGGACATGAATGACTTACGAGTCCAGTCTCCATTTATCAACGCCTTCTCTTTGAGTAACGATATATCATTCCTAATCCTTTAACGCTCGTCGAGTAACAAACTACTCACCTAACTCGTGTGCAGTGATAGCGCCAGACCTGTCGGTGTCAACTGCAGAGAACCAAGCCCACAACCTTCACAGCGATCCATCTAACATCAGGAGGAAAAAAGAAATGGCACACTAAAGCTAACTCACTGAGGGTCGGATCCAGGAGGAGGACCAGCGGGAGGACCAGCGGAGAACCCACCGGGTCCACCATAGCTGTAACCAGGAGGCGCCGCATCTCTATACTATAGATGTGGTTGCCCATCAGCAGCAGTCCAGCAAGGTAAAAGGCGACATAAGTGCTTACACCGTACGACATGTTCGATAGAGTTAGATCAATGAATTTCAATGTGCCAGTGGCTGACAAGTTAAATACCAGGGAAAAATGCAGTGCAGACCAAGTGCATTCCTTTTGCACAGCCTGCACAGCATCATAAGCATAAGCACTGTTTCGGTCACTTTTCTCGGAGATAACCACGGATTAGTACTGATTTCAAGAGATTACTGCGAGCATCGTATACCAGATATTTCACTTGTCCAGCGAACCGTTGTAGAAAACTCGACGTCAACAATGCAATTAGATCGTATGATATGATAATGCTACGGGTATATCCATGGGAAGAGTGTGCAATAATAAGTATACAAAATGCATCAGCGAAAACGTACAATAAATAACGATGAATGTGGTTTCTTCAAGCACTAGCGGCAATGACTGGAGGAAAGTCGACAGCTTTCTTCTTCTTGGCACTAGGTCCGTTTGCGGGTTTCTTCTTCTTCGGAGAATCTGTCACGCTGCCGCCCTCATAGAGAGACGAATCTACCAATGCGGTCTCTTCTGGTTTTGTGCTTATAGTACCATCCTTCCCCTTCCCCTTCTTTTTCAGGGCGTTTGCAGAAGATCCGCTTTTGAGGACTTGACCAAGAGGACCTAGTTTAGACTGGACAGGATTAGAAGAGTCATCAGGCAGTGTAACCACTGCTTTCGGAGCGGCTGGCTGTGGAAGGAGGGGAGGCATGGCAGAAGCGAAAGCAGGTGGATATGCCGAAGGAGCGCTTGCCATAGGAGGGAGAGAAGATGATAACAAAGATAGGCGGCCTTGATAATACGTTTTGAGCAAACCAATGTGATCGTCCACGTTCTTCGAGGACACCAGTAAAAAAGAAGGCGGCGGCGGATACGGAGGAGGGGGTTCTGTCGGCTTTACCCTAAAAAAAAAAGTAAAGATCATTAACTGCCCTAATGGTACGAGGATATATATAACATACTCGGAAGGCAACAGCTTGCTTCCAGCTTTACCTTTACCTTTCAGTAGCTTCTTAGGAATGCTGAGGCTAGAAAGCCCAAACTCGGCAGCTATACCAAGCTCGCGAAGTCCCAAGAAGTCCTCGCCAAATGAATCCGTGAAGTTACCCATGACGAAAGCACCTTCTTCTTCTTCTGAATCATTGCCAAAGAGTGCATCATCATCAAGGGCTTCCACAGCAGTCTGAAAATAGCGACAATTCATGTCAGAAAAGAATAGCTGGAAAAGTACAATACTTACGGCTTCACGGTATGCACTGACGAGTTTCTTCTCAAGGTCAGTAAGGCGTGCACCATACCGAATCACGTCATCCTTGATATACCGCTCAAGATTCTGTATCTTCGTCGTACCACTCTCAAACAATGTATGCAAAATAATTTCCTGTTTAGATATATTATTATATGAACTGAGAGCAAGTGTTCCGATACAACTCACCTCAGCTGTCATGCTATTAGAGTATTTGTCACACAGAAAACGAAGCGTTCGACCCACATTAAGGAAAAATTCAGACGTTACTCCTGACAAAACATCAAGTGCTACGCTTGAAGATCCTGCGGCAATGAAGTTAATGATTGATTAGAGGGCAAAAAACATGGCTGAGAGCCGCAAACCTTGGAAACCAGCATGCTCCAACACTTTAGTGTTCATCCAGCGAAGACAGTCAGTGGCATTCGCCTCTCCAATTTCAACACCAGCACCCCGAGTCTTCCATGGTCTTTCGTCGATCGTCTCTTCGACTTCATCTTCGGGAACATCTGGAGGCTCGTCAAATGTCCCACCTTCCTCTGAGTTTAGATTCAGAGCGGCAAACTTGGCATGAGTTCGACGGACACGCTTCAGGGTTTTTATGTTGCCATTCATATGAGCAAGCATGGTGTTGGTGGGAGTATCACTTTTCTTTGGTCGTTTCCGTTTTCTGGACGGTGATCTAGAGGCAGTCGGTTGGGAAAGCAGAGCAGCCTGATGAGAAGATTGTACGAGAGATGGTAACCCATTGGCAAGTAAGGTGTCTGACTCGACGGCTCTCCACCACAAATCAAGCACGTCGCTGTTATCATATACTGGTGGGGTGAGACGCGCTCGTTTTCGTGGTCGCTGCGCGGTGATACCATTACTGCAGAACGATGATGAGCCCAGAATGTTAACTTTCCATGCAAACTCACATTTTACGCTTTCCTGCTGCGTCGCCCTCAGTATGTGCAGAATCTATGAGACGTTCATCTTCAGTTTCACTCTCCGATTCTATAGGCATCGCATAACTCCTTAACCGCTCAGGTAAGCTAGAAACACCATTGCTGAGACCTCTTGCGGGTGCGTGTGAAGCAAAAGAGGGGCCTGCAGTGGCGTTGAGTTCTTCGTCCATTTGCCGGAAAGTTACCATGCCTTCCGCAGTGCGAATGATGGCAGGAGAATCAGGAAAAGCGACATCCCGTCGAGGTTTCTTGGGAACTGGTGAACAAGTAGACTGAATAGATATGGGTTGCCTAGGAGGACGACTCGGAGAACGTGGTTTCAGGTGGCCATTCATGAAACCATTCAATTTCGGCTGCGGCGTATTTCGAGAAGACAGATCAAAAGGAATGTAGGGATCGACACGCTCCTTGCGATCGGTAATGTTCATAAGAAGTTTATCCGCTTTCATTTTTAAACGCTTAGCACAAAGGCGGAGGGGGTGGTCCTATGATGTATCGGTGAGTATTTTGGGATATGTGATGTTATGAATAGTTTTGCATTCAATGCTGAAGGTAGTATTCACCTCATTTGCATTGTAAGTGTAACAATTCGACCAAATCAGGTCGAGGTCATCTTTAAACTCTCTTTTGGACTTGTACTGCTTTCCTTTGACCTTCTTCAGCATGGTTTGCAAGTCCATGGGATTTGCGATCACTGGACAGTCATAAGAAGGAAGGCGGGTCCTAGTGTGAATCTGACACACCGTCATAATAATCTGGATATTCAGCTCTCGGCACTGGCTTGAGAAAAGCATCTGCGTCATGGTTATCCTGAGGACGAGTCAGCTATGCGGCCCTGAAGCCGGACGTCTTGAATAAACGAACCATTGTTACGGTGCGGAGGTCATGGAGAAGACCTTCCAGGGATTCGTAGAATGGCTCTGATATCTTAGTATCATAACTCTGGCGCTGCACATAGTGCTGTATAAGTAAGGTGTACAAAGAAAGAAGTGACATGACTGACCCGAGCTTCCTTTACAGTGGTTAACAGTAACTTGAGGTCAGCAGATGACTTGACCTGGCTCTCGGTCAAAGCCCTCAAGAGATTCTGTAAGGCGCAGGTGATAGATAGGTCAGTCCCCAGGCTGGATGCACGAAATAAAAGGCGAAAGCTCACATTCATCCTCTAGAACGCGCCCGGGACGGCGTACAGTGTTCGGTGGGTTAGCGGGACAAGGTCTTCATTCAAGCTCCGATTGGATTTACCGCAAGGTGCCGGATGCAAAGCCTTTGTTCCTCCAAACCGCCTCTAATGACGGCTGGAGGCCCCACACTGGAGAGGATGCACGGTGGTGGTTTGGCGCAGAAACTCTATCCCCAGACACACCCGAGCACTGCAAGCAAAGCTGTGTGTTTTTCCCTGCATATATGCTGTGATATTTTGTGTTTTGTGCTGATATGAAATTTTCTGGAGGGCTTAGCTAATCAGGTTCTTCCGCGACGCGACGCGCCAGGCTGAGACCCGCGCTTGCCCCCGAACGACGACGGTCACGGTCTTCTGCTCTGTTCGTGTTACGCTTGGCCCCGCTTTGCTGCTTTTGCTGCCACATATATGCTAGGTTCCATCTGATTTCCTTACTTTCTCTCTTGTTCTGTCGACCAACGCTCGTTTTTTTCCTCGGTTCAACAGCAAACGTCCTTTAAGCCGACAACCAACCCAACTATCGCCATGTCTGGTCTCAAAAACTCACCCTTTGGAAAACGTCTCCGCGCTTCTCATCAAGACACTGACGACGACGCCCCACGAAGAAACAGACCACGTATTAACCCGATTTTCGGTGTATCCCCAGTCCCAAACTCAACACCGTCTCTAGACTCCCGGCCAACAACCAGCGACAGTGGCGGCCCAGAGTCTCCAACAGACCCCAGGCTTGCTAGAGACTATGGAGACAGGTTTGTCCCTTCAAGAGACTCTGGTGACATGCGCACTTCCTACCACCTCATGGATGAAGGCGGCCCTTCCACTCCCTCGAAGAATAGAATAATACCTACCGAATCAGACGCTATAAAAGGTGAGCTTCTTCCGTTAAGTCATTACTGATGTCTCTGCGACTGCAGTTACTGTCTCAGCGTCTTTGTAAATACACCCACTGATCGTCGTTGATTTATCCAGAGCAAGCCAACACTCTGTTTACGCATGTTCTACACACAGAAGTTACGCCACCTTCTCCACGACGGCCTGCCTCACCTACGCGTCCCACGCAAGCCACATCGTCGACTGCAGTCCCTCCATCAACCCCTACTAGGCGCCGGATATTTCAATATAATTCGCCATCTGCCTCCAATCCAGCAACACCCACTCGCCGTCTGGATGCTCCAACTGATGAGGCGTACTCAATGAGTCCAGTACGCGCAGAAAGTCGACATCTTCTCGAAAGTCCGAGACGCCAATTGCGTAGTGTCTGTAAAACACCATACAGAGTCCTGGATGCCCCAGAGCTTGCAGACGATTTCTATCTCAATCTAGTCGACTGGTCAAGTACTAACGTACTTGGTGTAGGCCTTGGACCTTGCGTATATCTCTGGACTGCTCATAATGCCGCCGTATCCAAGTTGTGTGACCTCGCTCCTACTAATGACACAATAAGTTCTGTATCTTGGGTACAAAAAGTGTGCACTATTTAACTTGGACTGTCAGGCACGTAATCTGAACAATTTATTTCTCAGGGCACTACACTTGCAATTGGTACACTATCAGGTCGTTTACACATATACGACGCCAACACTCTTCAACTTCAGCGCACATATCAGCAAGCCCATAATCAACGTATCGGAGCCATTGCATGGAACTCGCACGTGCTCAGTTCAGGCTCCCGAGATCGCATGGTGCATCATCGTGATGTGCGGGAAGCTACGATGAAGCCGTTCAAGCGCTGTGCCGGACACAGACAGGAAGTTTGTGGACTGAAATGGAGCGGAGATGGGGGACCACAAGCAGCAACTCTTGCGAGTGGCGGGAACGATAATAAAGTATGCATATGGGACTTACGGGGCTCAAAAAGAGCAGCAGGACTTGCCGTTGGTGGGAGTGGCAGTGGCAGGTCAGGCGGGAACAGTAGTGCAGGAGAAGATGCCGGTGGAGATGCGCCGTTATGGAAATTTCACGAACATACTGCTGCCGTTAAAGCCCTCGCATGGGACCCGCATGTTTCTGGCGTCCTTGCTACTGGTGGTGGAACCCAGGATAAGCATATACGGTTTTGGAATACCTTCAATGGCAATATGCTGAACGAACTAGATACAGGCAGTCAGGTGGGTGTTCTTTATCGCCTTTTTTGCCTCAATTATTTTTTAAACCGATATTTCTAGGTTTGCAACCTGATATGGTCTTTGACTTCCCATGAGCTTGTTTCTACCCATGGTTTCTCATCTACCACTGCACAAAACCAAATATGCATATGGAAGTACCCCACTTTAAACATGGTGGCTTCTCTCACGGGCCATACTCATCGTGTACTTTACCTCGCTATGAGCCCCGACGGCGAGACAATAGTGACCGGTGCAGGAGATGAGACCCTTCGGTTCTGGAATGCCTTCCCAAAGAAGGAGAATAACGAAAAGAAAGAAAGTCGCCTAGATTACGGCCGCCTCATTCGATAGGCATCTGATTGTCGTAGATCTTGTTCGTCAAAAAAATCTGCGCGCTCTCGCCATCTTCCTTCGACAGCCCGCCATGACTTCCCCTTGCATCTGTTTCGCTCACGGTCCTCCGCACAAGCTCACAACTCACCAGACTCTACTGAACACGCTTCCATGCTATGTCGATCTACGCCAACTCCCCTCATCCTCCGAGGTCACGACTACGTACATACATATTATATGACTGCTATTCTGTATCAAAGCAAGCCCATACTATAACTACTGCTAGCTATGCCTTTTTTATGTTGTCTTCACTTTGCTTCTTGTAAGGGTTATCGAGACATGTTTTCTTTGTATCCTTTTGATTTGGACTCGCTATACTTATACCCTTGTTCAAAGTTTCAGAACACTTGAACCGTCGCGTCAGAAAGTCCGTAGTGGCACTCTTTGTAAAATCGCAAGATATCATGACGAATGGTACATGGTACAATAGATAGTTTGTCAAATTCGAACCTCTCCTGCACCTGCTTTTATCCTGTTGCTTCAGCTAAGCTGCGCTCACGAATAAATTACACCGCGAAACATATAGAACGAGATATCGATAACAAAGAGAGAAACATCGAGTTTTAAAAAGCAAAAAATAGACAGATTAGAGGGTATAAGTGCATCAAAATGGGCGGACAGGGGTGGATAAAGAGAATGCATCACCGCGTGGCCGAGAAGGGACTGGAAATACAGAAGAGGGGGTTGCAGCGGTAGGTGTGACAGATGAAGTGGCAGGAAGCAACTCGCTAGAGGTCATCTCACGGCCTGCGAGAAGGTAGGCTATCCGTAGTTCCTGTGATATCAACCGTCAATAACAGAAAAGTTGTCGAAGACGACATGGTTCAAGTGCCCCTCGGCCAAAGGAACAATGCAAGAAGGAAAATAGGCGGTCCTGAACATACCTCGAAAGAGTGTTTATCATACTTTGGAGATGCAGATATAATCATAAAATAATCGGGTGGGCCTGGTGTTACAGTCGACGTTGTAAATGCCGTAGCAGCAGAGTCTCGAGCGTAAAGAGGAGATGTAGTGGGTGCTTGTGATAGAGTTCTGCCCGAGTTTGCGGGCATGACAGGAGATGGATTCAATAAAAGTGAATTTGGAGGTACAACATTTCCTGACAAGTAAGCATAATGACGGAGTTCCTAAACATGAAGTGACGACACGGATCAGTAATCTACACAGTGGAGACATCAAATCGACATTGAACAAAAGCGTGATTTGAGGGACGTAACGATAGTAATTGAGAAGAACACAATGCAGAACAAGCACACACCTCATGTGAGAAATTATTGTACAGTGTTTGGGCAGATATGCTCTGGAATTGATCATCGCCAGACGAACGCGTCACTTCAAAGATATGTGTAGTTGGAAGCTCAGAAAAATCTCGTGTCTCTGTTACATTTGTTCCCGAGCCCGATCCCACAGCTTCAACTGGGATGGGCTGAAATAATCGAGGAAGGCCCAAAGCGGTCCGTGAACTCTCTGTGGTGGGTTCTTGTGGGCATGGGACGGGTGGTCTTCCTGTTGTCGTATAGGCTTTTAGATAATCCTGAACCCGCAGCTCCTGAAGTAAAACAGCATGACAGATCAGAATAACGATTATCAAGAAGATGGGTGCTGGATACCTCGAAGCTTTGTTCCGGGCCAGGTACTCCTGGAGCCACTACGATGCTCATGAAGAACTCCCGACCCCTCGCCGTCATATCTAAAGGAGAGGTCATATCGAAACCGGGCGAAAGAGTGAGTTGCACGCCCGTATTCTTACAGTTCTGCGCGCTTCGTCGGGTTTGACGAAAAGTACAGGGCTTGGTTCAGAACAGCTAGATGTACTTGGAGCAAAATGTCGGTCAAGCCAAAGCACAGAATATGGCACAGGATGTATTACGTAATAAAAGCGGTGATACCTTGCACGTGCGAAAATGCGAAGTATGATTATGTATGTGAATAAGGTAATCAGGTCTTGCGATACTGGATCTGGCACCGGTCAGTCGCTCCGGTCATCCGTACTTCGCACGTGTCTGATTACATGTCCTCCCACAACGACAACTGCACAACACTGCATGACGTTGTTAACCCGTTTATCGCGCAATGCACCTCAATGTGAAGAAGACCCACTGGAACGGGAAGAAGTACAGATGAGAGTGGATCATTCAATGGTACGAGCCATTTGCCACCTACCACAAGCTTGCCAGGCGTGTGGTAAAGTGAAAGGTGGGCACGGTTTCCTCTCGATGGTTGCCAGTATTAAGATGACATGCCATGTTGCAAGTCTCTGAAAACGATTGGAGTGGACCGCGTGGAAATGACAGGATGCATATCTCGCTATGCCGGAGTGAGAAGATGGCTTACTTACATGTCCAATATGTACAATTACCCGCAGAAGACTGAAAGCTACATATGCTACTATTTAGAACTCTTGTGATCTTGATTGGTGCTTGCCTATTACAGGTGCCAGGGGTGCCCGGAGGGCGATACTATTGTAAATGCGGTGCAAAAACATAACGATTGAACAATATTGGAATAACAGCAGTTTCACTGAACTATGTACTGCGCAGGTCTACGGAAGACTTGCTACAAAATTTATCAATCTGAGTTTTTCTGAAGATAAATTGCCCCTCCATACTGTTGAACACTCATCTTCTTCTTCCATGTACAATACCACAGTCTCAGCATTCTCGCCAGAGGTATATGTGAGATAAGATACAACCATGGACATCGCCTCTGCAGGGAGGCCAGATGGAACGGCCACTAGAAATCGAACATCGGATGGGGTCTGGCAAGCGTAAGGTATAACTGCTACTTTTGAGTATGGCATAACGATCGCGAGGAAATCACGAGCAGCAAGAAGCTGGCTTAATTGTAATTTCACCTGGCCTTTATTCTGTGGGTGTAGAGGAAGAAACAAGCGTAAAATTTCGATGTCTTCTGCATGTCGGGAGGTTTCGCGCTTTGGTCCACTGAGTGGCTCTTGTGTCTGGGCGATTTGAATGATGTGAGTGAAGTTGTGTCCACTATTTGCCCGTAGGTCGGAGAGTTCTTCATCAGAATCGACAAACGCGACAAATAGACCTGGAATAATCTCTTGCAGGCAGCGTTTGCTGACCGGATCCAACTCAATGCTTTCGTTCATAGACAGAATGGCTGTATCTCCCGTCACTTCAACTTCCCAAGAAAAGGAGTCATAATCCTGCATATAATTGCGCTCCTTCAAAGCGGATTTCTGGGGAGCAGTGCTCCAGCCAGGTAGCTGATGAATATTGCGAGACCTCAGTCTCATCCTCGAAATAGCGAGGTCCAAAGGTTCGAAAGAAGTTTTGACTTGAAGGTTCACGGCACAGCGTTCGCGAAGTGACCGAGGACATTTGGAAGAATTTGAAGGCGATGAGGATGGATGAGGTGAGTGGTTTGTGATTTGTGATTCCATGAGAATATGAATGAGCGTGTCGGTATGAATTGGTTTATACCAGATACGTGTAGTGAAAGATAAAAAGATGAATGACCCGATATTAGGTTGCAAGCTCGAGATTAAGATGATGGGGAACAGAGAGCCAGAGGAGGCCCTTTATATCTCGCAAAGAACAAAAGATGGGACCAGTGGCCATCGCCTAAGGATATGGTCAATACGGTGGCAGAGGAAAGTACGGCAATGTGGACGAATTTGAGGGAATTGTAGGTTGGTTTCATAAATTTCGTTATCATGGCCACGCCGCTTTGTGATTGTGGTAGATAGCCATCAAGTATGAAAACTCACCGAGGCGATGAAGCGCTCTCTCGACCAGCATGACGATCTCATGTACGTACGTACCAGCGACTTGCTTTGGGCGACTCAAAAGCGAGAATAAAGATAAAGGATAGAAGGCGTAGTTTGGACTCAAGACATTCACAGACTACACTTACTATGTATCATTTTGTATTGGAAAACGGTGAAGAAGCGATTGGTTGTGAGCCAGGGTAGCAAAGCGCTTAATAGACGTTGTGGTCGGACACAAGACGCAAGGCCAGTTTAGCGCCCACTGGTGTTACTCACGCGCTTCGAGTCTCGAATCACTGGCACAAACCAAGCACCGCTTAAACTTACAATTCACGCTATCACTCAGCTTTGCCTGGGTTCCTCCAGTAATCAAAGATACCATAGACATTCTTGGTACGGGACACACATACATTAGACATCACGTTAATGGTGCGTGCCAATGCCTCCCACCTATTACCTGAATCGAACTGAAGACAGGATTCTAGACAACCCGAAACCATGGTTATATAGCTTTATCCTCTGGCTCTCATGAGGCAGGAAGCCATACACACCCTTCCCGTCCTAAACCCATACTCGATGGACACGTAGGAACCACAGTCGATACCTCGCATGGAGGCTCTCTCATCATACACGATGGCGGACGCAGTTATAGTTATTCATATGGCTCCAGCGGTGTAAAGGGTCTTTTTCGGAATCGCTATGCAGCCGGGTGCGCCATTTTTGCCTCGATAGGTGGACTTTCCTTTGGGTACGATCAAGGTGTCATGGCAAACATCCTAGTGATGAAAGACTTCCTTGCACGGTGGCCGATTGGCCCCTGGGAGAAAGGCTTGATGAGTGCGTACAAACATTGACATGTATTTTGCAGAATACACCTTGAAATTATTCTCGCTGTGCAATAGCTGCTGTGTTGGAACTGGGAGCACTCTTTGGCGCTCTTTCATCTGGTGTATTGGCAGACAGATACTCTCGACGGCACTCTATTTTCCTGGCTTCTGGTAAGCACTCCAATTAACGATGCGTTTGTTATTTCTGAGTTCGTATGTATCTTATTGGGACACCCAAATAGTCGTTTTCTGCATTGGTTCTGCTGTACAGTGCAGCGCGGGCTCACTCACCGACATTATTTTGGGTCGAGCCATTGGTGGTTTTGGAGTCGGTGCACTAAGGTACTTTTCTTCTCGATATCCTATTCATCATTTACTTAACAACCATAAAAAGTATGCTTTCGCCGTTGTACATGGCTGAAATCAGCCCTCCAGAATTACGAGGCTCACTTATGGCCTTGGAGCAATTTGCTATTGTACTTGGCGTAGTATGTGGTTTTTGGATAGGTTTTCTCACTCGTACTCGTGTGTATCTTCATCTCAGAGCACTTGCGTACAATAACCAAATTTGGCATCATAGTGGAAGGATCAGCTTCATGGCGTATACCGCTGGGCGTTCAGCTGGCTCCGGGTGTTTTGCTCTGTGCTGGCTGCTTTTTGCTACCCCCTTCACCGCGTCTAATGGTCTTAAGAGGCCGAATAGAGGAAGGCTTACAATCTCTAGCTCGTCTTCGTTTGCGGACTCCCGAGGAAGCTGACAGCGACCCTCTACTCCAGGTTCATTCTAATCTCAAAATGCCAACTTCAATCTGACTCTGACTTTTACACATAGTTAGAATTATTAGAAATGCAAGTCGACGTAGCTCTTTTGCAGAAGATGAACATCTCCCAAGATAAGGATGGAGTTCACAACGGTGCTCTTGCATGGGGGAGACTGTTCGATCGTAAATACATCAATCGTACACTAATTGGGGTTATGATGATGTTTTTCCAACGTAAGTTTGATCTCATGATACATGCTCAGTGTCACATCTTATAAAGTGCCACAGAATGGAGCGGTATCAACGCATTACTATACTACGGCCCTACGCTGGTAAAAAACATTGGTTTGAGGGGCGATACTGTGACGTTGGTCGTTTCCGGTGGTATCGGAATAGTACAATTCCTCGCTGTTTTCCCTGCCATCGTACTGGTCGATCGATTGGGTCAGTTTCAAGCTGTATTCACTCTAAATGTGTACTAACGTGATGTTTTTTTCAGGACGCAAGCCTCTCCTAAGAGGTGGGCATACCTTCATTTTTCATTGAGCAGTAACTAATTTGGATTATAAGGCGGCAGTGCTCTTATGTCCGCATCACACTTCCTCATCGCTGTACTAGTGCGTTACCCAATCATTGATTTCTCAAATTCAATTCAATTCACATACGCTTATAGATCCGCCAGTTCGAAGCTGACTGGCCATCGCACTACGTAGCGGCTTGGACAGCGGTGATGTACGCCTTCGCTTTCATGCCCTGGCAAACATACTGAACACTTATTTCTCGTCAGATGTGTGTATACATTCACAGCAGCTTATGGCGTAAGTTACGGGCCCATCGGGTGGATCCTACCAAGTGAAGTGTTCCCCTTGTCAATGCGGAGCAAGGGCGTCTCACTATCAACTGCCTCGAACTGGATCAATAACTGTAAGTAACTTCTTTATTATGGCCCGCGTAGACGTCTAAGCTACAGCATCCATACAGTTTTGATTGGCCTCGTCACCCCAGCACTCTTGGAAATATCTCCAGCGTACGTCGTTTCTATCTCCCTAGCGTCATCCTGTAGCTGATTCCGAAGGAGAGTAGCGCGACTTTCCTCATCTTTTCCTGTGCTTGTTTTGCAGGGTACCTCTGGTCGACACACCTCGTACCAGAGACAGCAAATGTATCTCTAGAAGAAATCGACGCAGTATTCAACTCTACAGCTGGTCAGGAGGATATAATTCTCAAACACGAGGTAGGAAATATATTCCTGAATATGACCCATCCGTGTTGACATCATGATAATGAACAACGATAATCTTAGCTTGAGCGCGAACTCGGTGTGCATGACTTACTCAAGGACCTGGTAGCGGAATAATTTCAGTTTTATCAAATCTGACATACTTTTACACATACTATATATAATATGATAACCATGGATTCACTCACTACTGTTTTTTTATATATGAAATAGTATATTTTGTTCTTCGGTGATCCGAGTTGAACGATCGTCAATCGAAAGTTGATCTTCACACCTTGAGATTTGGCCCGTGATTGTTCGGGTTGTACTGATGGGGACATGCAAGCAATTCGTCTGGGTAGGTAATTACTCCGTTATATTGCTATTGCATAGTACACGCACACAAAAGTAGAGATCAAGCGAAAAGAAATCTCCGAACAGCAACGTAGGAAACTATGATAGACGGAGAAGGCAGGAGGAGTTGATTAGCACATCATCAAGGAATGGGATGGGTTGTACAGTCCGCAGAGGAGCATTGGACACGGCAATGAATCGATAATGAGAGGCATAAGTAGAGCAGCCGACGGTGGTATGAGAATAGAACTTTGAACACGAAAAGAAAAAAAAGTAACAAAAAAGATAATAAAGTACTAGAAGTGGAGACGAAAGCCAAGTTGATAAAGAAGAAACAACCAATAGCCCAAAACCGCCAAAACACACCATTTATTCTTTGACGCTCGCTAATCATAAATACTGACGATGATCTGCGAAGGTGAATAAAAGATCATGGACATGTTCAGCGGAAATCCGAGCCAACTTCTTTCCATCCACTTGTTGAAGTTTTTTTTTCTCGCTTTCAAGGTATTCGATCAGAATAGGTGCCGCGTTTGAATGTGAAACGAAATGGGTATCGAGTGACAATTGATATCAGGAAGCACGGGAACAACTTCGAAGTAAACAGGCGCCCAAACTTAATTGGCACCGTTAACACCTTCATGGACAATATCTACATGCATCTCTTGCGTGAGCTCTGGACCAGGACCAGGACCAGCGACAGCAAGAGCGGTACTGGTATCCTCGCCGAGCAAGATTGCTTCAGATACATCCGGTTCTTCTTTTATATCACCATTCAATGCATCGATGGGGGTAGGGCCATTACCACTTGTAGACCTCCGTGAACCACCTTGAGGTCCTGATCGAGGAGGGTTGGCACAACGATCCTTGCCGTGAGCAATACGCAAGTTCGTGTAATCAGGCTTGTTCTTTACTCCGTCGATCGCTTTGATCGCATTCGAAATATTCGTAAAGTTGACGAATGCACAGTTCCTGAAAGTGAAAGATAGCGTAAATATTTACTGGTCAAACACTGCAAGGGACCATGTACTGACTTTTCCCTCAAAAAGTTGACAAGCTCAATATCTCCAAATTCGCCAAAGTCTCTCTTGAGCCTGTCTTCGTTGAACGACTCGAAGTCCTCAATATTTCCAACGTACACGTTCCTGGTAGCACCCGAATGGACGGCGAGTGCAAGAGTAGGCGGCAGTGGGCCCGAGTTCTTTCCCCAGCCAATCTTCAATCGCCGGTTGTTCAGAGTAAGTCCTTGGTAAGATGCTACCTGGAAGAACGTGAATGCTGCCGCCGGATCGACGAACGTGACGAACTGCAAGGATATAATTAGCAAAACTTAGCAGCGTCGCAAACGGTGTAAACACGAACTGCAATGTGCTTGTCTTGCATATAGCGTATACTTTGCAAAACGCCACCTCTGATTGCATTGCACAAATCTTCTGTCGTGGTCTCGGGATGAATGTTGCCGAGATACACGGTGCGGTTCAAGCCCTGTGCACTAGCCATACTTTGAAGAGATTCAGGCGCGAAAGGGGTATATGGGTTGAAGTGTGCTCCAAAAGGTGCCGATCCCCCTGTGGGAGAAAGTACGGCAGACTGCGCCACAAGTGACTGCGCAGCCGCTGCTTGAGCAGCCTGGGCAGCAGCTTGCTGCGACTTCGGAATATATGCGCAGCGATCTTTGCCGTAATTCACGCGCTTACCAGCCCATGCTGGCTCTGTGGGAAGTGTGTTTACTACCTATCGGTCGACAGTAGGCATGGTTGTGAGCACCAACTCAATGTTGAGGATGAGATTAAGTACCTTAGTCGCCACAGATATGCTCAAGAAATGCACAAAGCCAATATTCTTGTCACGAACGATCTTTACCTGATCTATTAATCCAAATCGGCTAAGATCATCTCTCAATTGTTCCTCCGTTAGACTCTCATCTAGACCTCCGAGATAAACGTTCCTGCTAGCATTGCTTTGGCTGATGGCGAGAGCTACTTGGGCGGGAACAGGAGACGGTTTTCCCCAACCAATCTTAAGCTCTTGTCCATGCAGAGCAAGTTTTTTGATAGTCGCATCTGCGTGGAAAGCAGCTGCCGTGGATCCGTCCAAGAAAGACAGGAAAACGCATGATTTTTCGGGAAGCACACGGATAGACTCAAGGGGGCCAAAGTGCACCAAGTTGAGAAGTTCATCAACAGAAGCAGTTGCCGGCAAGTTACCGACGTAAACGGTCCGCCCTGTAGCATTCGAATTTGCGGAAAGAGCTGCCGTCAGTGCAGCAGGAGAGTAGGTAGCGGGAGCAGAGGGAATGTTGACGTTAAGAGAGAGTTGTCGCGGCTGTTGATTGAAATTCTGAGAGATATCATACTTGAGAAAAAATGAGCACATATCATATAGCAAGGTATAACAATGTAACACACCTGTCCAAAATTGCCCATTTGGTTACCGTATGGGAAGTTGCCAAGCATGTTCATTCCAGGAAGACCCATGCCGAGCATGTTGTAACCAAATCCATTACCATAAGCATTGCCATTTCCATTGACCTGCTGCTGTTGTTGCTGCTGATGTTGCTGTTGTGCAAAGGCAGAGGCTGTATTTGGGCTCAATTGTGAGGTCATCCCATTTGCAGTAACACCTGTGTTTACGGTGAGCGAAGGAGTAGAGTAAAGGGGGTTGCCTGCGAAAGCAGCGGGGGGAGAATTATTGAACCCAGACTGTGAGATACTGGCTTGAGGGCCATAACCATAGTTGGCAAACGCGTCGCGGGTCGAAGCGGTGTTCGAGGAAAGACCATTGGTACCGTTTGAGGCAGCGAAGGAAGTTGGAGACCAGCGAGCTTTTTTGGCATCAGGACCACCGACGGCATCCATAGACCTCTGTATGCGGAAAAACACGAGATTAGGGTGCCAGCTCATGCGGAACCGAGGAAAATTGTTACCGACCTTCATCATGTCGAGATCAAAGCTGTAAGAAGGATACTGAGTTGCGAAAGCTGCCTGTGAGTCGTCCATTGTTGCGGTAAGGAGAGTGGGGGAGGATTACGGTGACAAATGGATGGAGGGAGAAGGCAACGGCGGAATGTGTGTAGAAAAAAGAGGAAGAAGTTAGAGAAAAGACGGTAGATAGATGTAGGGACCGTGGAGGACAGGGAAGAGCACGAATATGAGCTCTTTGATCAAACGAATGTGGTTGAGTTGGTTAAAAAATGACACGCACAAAAAATGGAGTGAAGAGTGCGGTGTATAGATAGATTTAAACTTGGAAACGTTGATAAAGAGAATGAACTTTTCCTTGAATTCACGGCACCCACCCACGAATAATAAAGAAAGACGCAGGGAACGGCGGGCGGCGACGACGAACGCAACGACGACGGAAACGTGAATGCAAAAGTAAGAAGAAAACAAGAAAATCGGTCATTTCCGCCACCCCGCCCTCTCTTTCCCACCAAGCAGCCCGGCCGCGCACGGACCCACCGGCCGCTCAGGCGAGATGCTGCCTTGTCAACGATCCCAACCGTGATCAAGAATAAGGCTGTACAAGTACCTAACTAACAATAGCTACGCTAATCTTTACATATACGTATATTAGATTACAGATCACGTCCCGTTATCATACCTGCCCACAGCAGTTCCTCGTACTCTCTCTCCTCCGCCTGATCTTTCTTGTCCCATTCCTCTTCCTCCTTAAGCACCGCAAGCAGTACGTCTTCATCCACTTCTTGCAGTAACACTTCCTCTGGCTCAGTGGATGGGGACAATGACGTAGTCCCTCGAGTCCGACCACCAGAGATATCGTCTACGTAAGACGACGACGACGACAGGCACGCTACTGAATCTAGGCCAAGAGAGAGCGATGATGGGGGTCGAACTAGCGGTCCATAAATCTCGCGGTACGTCGAGAGAGCCGGCTTTGTAGGCCTTTCACCGTCACTAGCGTTCGCATCCTCATCGTCTGACTTTTCGATATCCTCAGTCTCATCGTTCACTTCCTCCGTGCTTAAATGGCAAGCATAACGCTGTAGTTCTGAAATATATGTCTTCTTGTCTCTCTTCTTCGCTCCAACTATTTCAAGTGCATGTTTGACGCTGGCCGCAGGAATCTTGAACACCGTCAGAAACTCAGAATACCACGAGATTACAAAGATAAGATGACTACCTGATCAGGAGCCACTCGCCATGCCTTCGTGCGCGCTTTGAGCTTGCCTTCTTGCTCTCTAGACACAATAGCTTTGTACACAACGATTGTGACGAATGTCTTCACAAGAGCATAGAGTGACTGTATAAATTGAGCAGAGATGGAACCAACGGGTTCAGATTCGCCCTCAAGAGAACTATACAAGCTATCCATGGACAACAAGAACACTTGAGACATTCCTCAAACCATCTGACAGACAAAAAATAAACCAACCTCATCAACTTCCCAAGGGAACTCAAGTGAAAGAGGCCCATATTGTTATCACGAAGCCATTGGGCATCGACACCCATCTTATCTAACCGAGCCCTGATTCTGTATGGTCGCGTCGTACCACCTATATTTGGATGTCGAATATCGTCTTGGTCCTGGATTTCCGCCTCCTGTATTTCTTTGTTCTCGTGATCATCGCTAGCTTCTGATGACTGTCGTGACTTTTTCCGTGATTGGGTCTTCCTTCCTGGCTTTAGTCGACTGACTTCTGTCACGACTTCGCCTCCTGTGGATTGCGCACGCTTGCGCCGCATGTAAAGACGTTTCTGGTAGCGTCGACGAGATTTAGGGGAGAGATTAACAAGTTCGGGATTCGTATTGTTCGTTTCAGGAGGGACCGGAAAAGGTGGGGTATTCGATGGATCAGGCGCAAAAGCGGAAGCTGATCAAAATGATGGTTAGCATCAGTTTATTGAAGGCCACGAAAAACACACCTTCTCTAGAGATGGCAAGAAGAGCGGGGTCGATCATTTCATCGTCTACCGCTGTGGTATGATTCGTAATGGGCGTGTCCCTCTCCTCCTCGATTCCCTCCTGGGATGGAAATTCTACACCTTCCACATCTTCCCGCAGGAGAGCATCGATAGCTTTCAAGTGGTCAATATCCAGGCGCTCGAGCAAGTCATCCTTACTCCAAAGTAATGTTTTTTCGGCAGTCCATGCCCTGGCTTTAGCTCTCTGAGTATCCGCATCACCTCCCATTCCATCCTCTGCTCCATTTTCCTCGTTTGTAGATTCGTCTTCTCTATTCGTCCTCCGTCTCTTCCTGCTTTTATTTTCTTGCGCTCCCCGTTGGCATTTCGAGTAAATTTCTTGCTTTTTTTGCTTTGTTTCTATCTTCCGCTCGTGTTCTTTCCACTGTCCTGCCATTTCTCCCTCTCTCCTAAGAACCTCAGCTGCCAGCCCTTCCTCTTTCGCAACCCATTCCTCCGACACCTGCATCGCCACATCCCTTTGTGCCCTCCCAACACCGTCCCCTCTACCCTCCATTTCCTCACCAAGAGCCGTTTCTTCCAATATGAACAAGTAATGACATACCTCTGCAACGTTTTTTGTTTTCACAGCTGCAGCAATCAAGTCTGGACGCCACCGCGAGTAAATGGTGAGGGCATGAAAGAAACGGTCTCGCTCGTCGCCACTCCAGGTTCCGCCTTGTCCCTCTGAAGCTAACTCGACATCGTCAGATAAGTCAAGTGCTACATGGCCATCAAGGTGTTCTTGCACTGAGGAGAGGTGTTTACGGAATGACTGGAGGTACACTTGCATCAGCAAATGAAGGAGAGCGTGGGATGACCATTTACGTTTTGCATGTGACCTGGAAATTTGCCAGGTTTTATATACCAAGATAATCGATTATGTACCTATTGTAATCATTGTTATTGTTATAACTGACTACGAATCTCGTTCATCTTGATAGAATCGTTATACTGCCAATATGAACCAAGTACCACAGTGAAATATATATTTTCATGATGCACCATTCAAGTAGAATCGAACAGCATCTTCATGTTTGCTGGCCAACTCCATCAGTTATTTTGACACGATGTAGGGCACTGTGTCGAAGTTATAATGTAACTGTAAGTCAATGACATTTTGGTTATTACGACAAATGTTGATGGATTTCTAAGCCATGTGACAGATTCATTACATTGACATTGCAATACATATATAAAGTAACTACAGGCCAACACTGTGGGTAGTACTGTGTAACGGTCACTGAACGTCACACGAGTGAAAATGGAAAGATGAGAGACGTCTCGAGTGCACCAGGGATCACAGTTTTAAGTCTGCTATTCCTAAGAACACTGGGCTCCCTGGGACGAGTAGAGAGCCCTTATATACATGAATCGGTGTCGGAGTCTAAGAAACTCTAAATAAACTAATGAGCGACAGTAGTTCTACGAGCAATAAAAGAGTGTTAGAATTATGGTAAACGAACGAAAAAGGAAATGTGACAGTAACAAGTAACGAAGTAACACGTATCCGTTACATACTGTCACTGTAATATAGTGATCAAAATCACTGTATTTTAGTAGGCAGATGCACTGTAAATGAGCGAATTGCCAATGAAAATCTCAGTGATATAAATCAATGAAACCGACTATTCCCTGTCTGAGCATTAGTGCATTATATTTTGACTTTCAGTGCACTATACACTGACTACTATTGAAGAATCTCACTGATTAGTAGTGTCACAATCACTTGCCAAATACACTGTTTTATTAGCAACTAGTATCAAAATAAGCATGTGGTACATAATATTATAATGTAGTCACAAGCGAGCACAACATGAATATAGCAATATGAACTTGATGAGCAAAAATGAGACCTGGGACCAGATTGATGGACAAAGAGAAAAGAGTAGGAATTTGGAATATTACCAGGCTAGTTGAGAAGAATGTGACAACAAAAAAATAAAGGCAAGTCCGAGTGAGAGGGTCTTTCAAATTTTCTTGTGTAGTCGCAATTTGGGTGGAATTATGTCGTCAGCCAATTCAAGCTGAGTGTTGTGAGGTGTTCTTGCATAAGATAGTACACGTATGTGTGGGACTCACCGCTAATGCACCAGAGAATTTTGAGGGACCAGCAATAGGAGGGCTTGGGATATTGCTTTTCTTTTTTGTGGTTTTGGCTTTTGATGTGATCTTGCAGTCTTGTGAGTTGTGTCATGGACTCGGAGATGAACTCAGACTTACTTTTGGTTTCTTTGTGAGTGGCTCTGCTTTCTAGTTGTTCGTAACACATGTTTGGGTTTGGGTTAGTATATAAATTATAGATTTAGACAATAAACAACGGGGGCACAGACCATTTTTGCTGTTGAACTTCTGTGGGGCTTAGTACTTGTTGTAACCTTGACTTCAGGCTCCTTTGTATGAGATATGAAGCCAGACAACAATCTGTACAATATGTGATACACTAGAGTAACCTCTGCTTTTTTAACCATCCGAGCCTCAAGAAGCATAAGTAAATAGTATACAGGGCAGGTATGGATAACCTATTTTCACCTTGGGTTTGACCTTTAACAGCTTTGCTGTGTCCTGACAAAACCAGATAAACCCGGTCTCTGCTGAAGCAGCCATTGTTCTCCATGGAGCATAGCCACCACTCCATGGAGTAACCATTGTACTCCTAGGAGTCATTATACTGTAGCAAGTAGCACCTCCGACTATAAGTAGTAGGGGGTTTAGTATAGGAATACCTCAGTTGTTTCTATAGCCTCTCAGGCAGCGGCTGAGGTATGTTACATTACATTTATTAGAGATCACCTTAAACTAACATCCATTGTAGTTTCACATAGGTAAATAATAAAGTTGTTTCTATAGCCTCTTGGGCAGCGGCTGAGTTTCACATAGTTTTATTATGTCCGAGCCTTGTGGTGTGGTCTGAGTCTCCATAGTATGACCCAGTGCATCAGTCTTTCATTTTAAGACATAATGCAAACTTTTACCCACCTTTTCCTTTGTGGCCTCTTCCAAAAAACACTCCTTAGCAATGTCCTCGAGCTCCTTCTGGCACATGCTAATAATCTCAGTATGTTTTTTCATCTTTGTGTCAAACTTGGCTCTGGAGATTTTTTCTAGTTGCTTATCATTCTCTTCGTACGGATGAATATTTTGGCCTGCATCCCCACTAGCTATCATCTCTCCGTAGGCCTCCTCAAGACTGCATTTCAAGTCTTCAGATATTAGTGTACAAGCAACAAATGGAACAAGAAAGTAGCGGGTGAACCGTAAGAGACTGAGTGGCTGAAAGCTGTAAATTGGAGTAGTTTTGAGGTCTATGATCCACACTAGAACTGATTCAATTATTGAGCTTCCTTTGGCACCATAACTGTGTTAGAAATAGTTGTCAATACACTAGCAGGACGTCGGTGTGTAAATGTATATTTATATTACTTACTAGCCAGGCCGTGAATTCATATACACCTGAAGTGGAGCACTAGGCACAGATGCAAGCTTCTTGAAATCACGTCCAAGGCCTGCAGCCTCAAGGTCGTCCAAGAGGTACTCGTAAACAACATTCCCTACCCGTTTTCTTTGGCTAAGAGTGACCTGTTCAAGTTCATCCCTCATAGCAATGATCCGACAACGAAAAGCATGCCAGTCAACTACCAGTGGCCAGTTTTGATATGTGCACAGACAAATGTGATATTGCTGGTCTTATGCCCGCTTGATATCCCCACAAAGCTCCAGTTTAAGTCGTAGAAACCCAGTAGTATTAGACTTTCCAGCACGTTTCAGCTCTCTGTACTTGCTAAATTTGTTGACCAGTTCCTGAGGTGGGTTAGTGTAAGGACCATTTTATTATTTTCTTATCTTCGCTATGTCTTGGTTCTCGAACACTTTTCCCAATACACCTCTGGCTCTAGGGCTAGAGGTATCATTTGCCGTTTTACTTCTCATAGCCCTCACAGGCTTTCTTAACCATCACTACCATTTTATATCACAGATCAGAGACTGGGTATTGCTCCCAGCCAGCCAGCACACTGGGTAGGGACTGGTAGTAGGCATCTCGCCAACCAGCTCCAAGCCTCAGTAAAGCCTGGTTATACTAATAACACCTTATTCAGGATCATACCTCATTATGAGGATACAGTTCCTGAACACGCGTGACAATCCTCTATTATTAGTACAAGTCTCTCACCTGCTGATTAATCAAGTTAAAAGTTGTACGATAGTTGTTCTCTCTTTTTCTTATTGGTCGATTGATTCCTCAGACCACTTTTCGTATATTCTCCTTTTGGTCTGAGGAACGAACAGTTCACTATATAAAGCCCTACCTATTCATGTATGGCTCCTTAGTTTTCTATTACTGAATTTACCCGCTTTACTCCTCAACGAAAACCTTTGAAGCTTACCTCTCAAAGTCCTCTACTCGCTATATTTACTAGCGTCTGTCGACCTCAAGCTCATCGAACCCTTTACTCCCTGCAAGTGCAGAAGGAGACAGTTTTTGTTTCCGTTATAGTTTATCGTTGCCTCACAGTTAGTGGGTACAATATGCTTGCATCCATCTAGTGGACAGACTATGGGTATTTCAGATATGTCTGAAACACCATTACTGACTCGAACAGCATCATCCAAGTCCCCAATTTTTTTTTTCAATGCTGTAGTGGCTGTTAAGTCATCAGGAACTCTGACTGAGGACTGAGAGGCAAGATTGTTGACGCCCAAGTCTTCATCCTCGTTATCTGATTCCTGGTTATAGATATATAGTGGTAGTCAGTTCTGTCATGAAACAGAGGCCTAGAAATGAGCTTACTATCACATGGCAACACTTCCATCTGCCAATAACAGGACTTGGAGGTTCAATATCTATTTCCTCAGCCTTATGCTTCTCACTAATAGTATGAGTATTCTGTTAGTATTTCTGGACTATTGTGGCTGGTTCCTGTGGGACGGCTGCTGAATCAGGTGTCAGGCTAAAATATTAGATGGCTTTACCTTATCTTTCATAGGTTTTCGGCTGCCTGCAGGAACCTGCAGACAGGCATCTGCCACTGTTGTATGCTAGCACACTGCTTACCGGAGATCTTTCCTTTCTAGTAATCTCTTCATCCTGGGGCTCATCTTCATCCATACTGTTTTTGTTCTCATTTCTATTAAGGACTTCGGCCAGTCCGTCAAGATTATAGCCATTAAACTATAAGGATACCACAAGTAATTGAGTATTCCATTAAAATAATTGATAAAAGCAAAATTTTACCTCATCACCGTCGTCACTAGTGGTGGTCTCAATCTCTTGTTTTTTCAAATATTGGACATAGTTGCGTAAGAATCTCCCAATCAGGTCACGCATAGGCCAGTTACTGGGAAACTTCTGTAGATATTTGTATTTTTCTTGAGCCTAATATGGCTTAGTTAGCCAATATCTGAATGCATTTGCAGCACATACCAGCGAAAGAACCATATTGAGGACAAATTGATCTTGATTCCGCAAGGTTGCTGTAACATCAAGGTACTTCCATGACAGCTGACGTGCAACAGCCTAGAAAATGTTTAGATTTATGCATATATGCTGAGACAACCTACTGAAAATGCGTTATACTGCCTTTTTTTCTTGCCTAATTCCATAGCTTCTTGAATATTGTATCCTTTTGGAAAGGATCTTCCTGGTGAACCTTTCGGTTTGCGAATACACCTGCCTTGTTGATGATTGCTGTGGCTCCCTCGCTTTCCATGATTTTCTTTACCTATGCCAGTTGATTTTGATATCAGCGATCAAAACAGAGGAAATTGTACTTACACTGGAGCTGGTGGATTTCATATTTGAGCTCACTGATGTGGGATGCCACAGTGTTGATTTTGCTAGTCTTGTTGGTGATTTTCTTGCTCTTTGGTGCCATTGAATACTGCAAGATGTGAGGTTACAATCAACGTCACTTGGAAGGAGGCAACTGAGATTACCTACCCCGTGGATATTCCCACGGTTTTAGACTTCTGTGCGATTGATCACCAGGAGTACCATTGCTTGTACGGGATGTTTGTGTTGAACTATATGGTGAAAGTAAGGAGAAGTGATGATGGAGGGCATAGTGGATCATTGCAAACACAAAGAAAGAGAAAAAATGATAATGAAATGAGAGCAGACAACTAAAACATGACACAATGAACGAAAAGATTTTGGATCACGAGGCACGAGCAGAAGTGATTTTGGCCGCAAGAGAAACACCTCGCACAGTAGACATCTTGAATCCTAGCTTCCGCATCACAGCCAACAAATCTGCACGCTGAAGAGGTTTGGTGAGGGAAGCGGCAAATATGTTACTGAGATTGTTGGCATCCACACCACTGTAGGCGCTCACGGCGATAATAGGTGAATTCATATTCTTACTATTGGTGCTCTTAATATACTGAGCAGCGCTTTCACCATCCACTAGTAGTACAGACCAGATCAGCTACAGGAAGCAAGTAATATGACGAAAACAACTCACAGACTGGCATGTGCAAGTCCATCAGGATACAATCAAATTCTATGAGACTATCAGTGATTATTCAGAGAACTGTTTTAAAAGAGCTACTCACTGATATCTCCCATAGCCACACTGATAGCCTCCAACCCGTCTGCGACTACAACACAGCGGCATCCAAGGCAAATCAACCAAGTCTCCAATATCTTCGCTGTGATGGGGTTATCTTCTGCAAGCAGGCATGTAAAGGCACGATCACTAGGGTCCGGTCCCTTCCGCAGATCAATGGAATGGACTGATGAAGGCGGTGTAACTTCATACTGGCCGGAGCCTTGACTTGCCGATGGAGGCCAGTTTTCAGAGCTAGAACCATCTCCAGCACTAGATACTGAAGCTGTCCGTAGGCGACTAGGCATAGAATTCCTACGTTTGCTGTTATCTAAATGATTGAGCTTGAACCACTCAACTGCACCAAACTTGGAAGGTTTACGAGCATGGCTGGCCGTACTACCTGGAGTAGAAGGTGGGAGGCTGGCTCGAGAAAGAGACAATGCCAGAGAAGATGGGAAGTGGCTGGAGAAGGAGGATTGGTGGACATTGTCTTCTGATCCAGTGAAGTAGTCATGACGCTGGGGGGTTTCTTGATTCTCTGAGAAACACTTTGCTTCCGTGAATGCATATTTGTTGAGTCCGAAAGTGTGAGTCATGGGCACAAGCTGGTCCATTTTCAATTTACAGATTACATCGTCATTGGCTTGCTTGAGAATGGGTAAATTTTTAAAGCTGAAGGAGCCGAAATCACCGCGGGAGATGAGGCGGCATCACGGTTGTTGGCAACAGGAATAGAGTGGGTGGATGGCAAAGCAGTCAAGTTGGGGCTGTCTGTGGTATGGCTCACGGGGATCGAAGTAGTCAGTTGACGGACAAGAGACGGTGTTTGAACCCAAACACTGAGCTGTGAATGGTTGCCCACACGAGCCGGGTTTCGGCAAATCAGACTCGGGCCCTTTCAAGCATCCTTGACAAGTCACTCCATGGACACTGGCAGCAACACCACTGAAATGAAGCGCTGTTGCTGCAGCCCGGGTTGCTACAGACGGCTCACCAAAGGAGTCAGGGACTGACACTATACAAAAGCAGACCCTATGGAAGCATTGGAATCAGATGATGGTAGCAACAGTTCAAGTCTTGGTTCCGACATGAAGCTGTCAACATTGTTATATGAGCTAGAGGATACTGCAGAAGAAGAGAATGAACTTGAAGATGGTGTAGAAGGAGGTGATGGACTGAAAGAAACCACAGGAGAAGGGGACATATTGGAGGAGAACAACAATGCATTAAATGATCTGAAGTTTGATGAAGATGACGACAATAAGAACCTGCATCTTACGCTTGAGGAAATGGAAAACCAGTTACGCTCATGGCTTGGTCCTGAGATTGATGAGGAGCTATACAATATTCGCAAGTAGATCCTCTCTGTCTCATCTATAAAATAGCTGATAGCTTGTAGGAAATAAAATCATTACTGAGGAAGATCGAGATAACGCTCAAGTCTTCAAACTCAAGATTATGTCTAATATGCCACGACATGTTTTTGATCAAATGCGATACTCTTTTTGCCACAAGATGTCTATCAATTCTGACTGGATCATTCTTCACCGCATTGCCCTGCTTTCAGGCGTTCAACCTCTGGATATTCACTGCTGTATTAACTCCTGTATTGCCTACACAAAGAAGTATGTTTATAACGAAGACTGCCCACACTGCCTTGAACCGCGGTATACTGCTTCACGGAAACCCCGTCATATTTTCTCATACATTCCATTAATTCCTCACCTCCAAGCCATCTTTCAACATGAGGGCTTGGTGCAAACACATTCATATAGGTATCAATACCAGCACAAACCTGGTAAAATCTGCGATGTCTTTGATTGTGCATGGTATCAAACATTGCGACAGCAGAATGTAGTTGTTCATGGTGTGGAACAACCGCACAAAGATTTTGATGGCAAATATGACATTGCATTGGCACTGCCGGTTGACAGCTACTTGTTATTCAAGCGCCGTCGTGGTGGGCCATCTGCAACCCCAGTTCTCCTTCAAAACCTCAACATACATCCCCAAAAACGTACACATCTAGATAACCTCATTTGCATTGGCATTATACCTGGCCCTTATCAACCTAAGGAACTTGATACATTCCTTGCACCTCTGGATGATGAACTAGCCTTGTTAGCAGATGGTGTAGAAACCTTCAATGCGCTCACAAAGGGATATTTTGACCTTCATGCTTACATCATTTTTGAGAACGGAGACATTGTTGCCATTGAAAAATTGCTCAATATCAAAGAACATAATGCTGTTTTTCCATGTCGCTCATGCAACATCCAGGGTGTTTGTAATATCACTGGAAAGGGTACAGTCTATTATAGTGCACTTGGCACTCCAGATGTTGAACACCAAACTCATTATTCTGTGGATCCTGTAACAACCAAGAGTTATTTACTCCGGCGCACACAGGAACACACCATAAAGAAGATGATGGGGAGTGGTTACCCCTTAGGCTGCAGTGAGTTAGTTGTGCTAGACAACAGGAGGACTCGCTGAGTCCTTCCCCATGTATTGCTCTTGTATATATACTAAAATACATGAGGTACTGTACAGTTGTAAATAAAGTTCAAAGTCCGATGGCTAGCATGTGACCGGTCACATGATGAGTCTAGACACTGGTCAGGTGATATGTCACATGACTGGTCATGTGACTATGAAAAGATGAAAATGTAAAGTAAAGTAAATGGTCACATGACTAGTCATGGCTTCTGGTACATGTACATGGCTCCAATCCTACTAAAGGACTGTTTCCAGAAAGAGAAGTATTACACACACATGTGCAAATTATCCGACCTTATGAAGTTGATGGTGCGGTTCGAGATTAGTGAAAAAGAGGTTGATCTGCTGGAAGTGGGACTTATTGAGTGGGTAGAGCATTACAAAGAGTGAGTCGACCACCCAATTATATATGCATATACTGACGGTACATAGGTATTACTACCAATATGAAGAGAACCAATTACCTGTCTGTACACTCCCCATCCATGGTCTGTTGCACATTGCAGCAGGCATTCGTTTCTGCGGCCCTGTCTGGACAAGTTAGACATTCTATATGGAGCGGTACTGTGGCTACCTACAAGCTGGTTTACGCTCACGCCGTTTCCCTTGGAGTAACCTCAATAAACGAGTTCTGCATGCAGCGTATCTAAGTCAACTGAAGCTAAAGTATAACCTAGATGACGAACTGAAGGATTTTCACTCTAGTCAGCACAACTATAGTGTACTGAAGCAAAATGAGAAAATATATCCAGATTGTAAGTCTTATATCTATGTTTACCTGGTATTCCAATGCCAAATTTGCTGTTCAAGATCCAGACCATATCATGTGTAGCCCTTACCATATGGAACATAAACCCAACAGTGATACTAGACGCAGGATCAGCATATACATCCGCGCACTCATTGGTGGTCAAATCAATCAGATATTGCCTCACTTACCTGAAGTAATGCCCCTTTGGGGAAAACTATGCATTGCTGCTGGTGGTGATGTTGTTCAAAGTGCTTTTGCAATGAAAAAGAGCAACACATTATCACAACATGATAATTCTTTTGTGCGGGTATGTGACATGGTTATTTTATTTTATTTCATTTCAACCAAACTCATTTGCGTCAAGTATGAGATCTCTTACACTGTACTAGAACACAGGAATACCACTGTCACTGCCACTCATTATGGTCATCTCGAACAAATACTTGTCTGTCAGCTTGGAAATGATGATTTTTGGAAGGATCTATCTGGTCATGGACTTCTATTGGCAGTCATCACACCATGTAAAACTGAGGGTAAAGATGCATCTTTAGAAGTTGCTGTGTATGGTGGATTAGCAGCTGCCATTGCCATAGACATCCATAACATCAAAGCTGTTGTCGGATGAGTGAAAACAAGAGGAAGGTGGGGAATTATAGACCAAACAAGTGGCCTTGCTTCTGTTGCTTTCACACACCAGGACACAGAGGGAGTGAAATCTGAGTGTTATGACTCCGGACCAGGCTCAGATGATGACTTTATGCAATAGATTGCCTCAAAACTCTTTGATAAAAATTCAGTGATTGATCAGAATGATTAATTGATTTTAGCACTTTGTACATCATTGACTTATTATAATATACAATGAACATCAGTGATCAGTGTTAACGCTGAATACTAGTGATGGTGGTTTCAATGATGCGGTCACTGGGCTTAGATCAGTCAGTAATGAACTAGCTAGCTTTGTAATACAGATATTGACATAAGGATGTAGAGAAGCAATATAAGGACCATTTTACTATTTTCTTATCTTCTCTATGTCTTGGTTCTCGAACACTTTTCCCATTACACCTCTAGCTTTAGGGCTAGAGGTATAATTTGCTATCTTACTTCTCATAGCCCTCACAGGCTTTTTTAACCACCGCTACCACTTTATATCACAGATCAGAGACTGGGTATCACTCCCAGCCAGCCAGCACGATGGGTAGGGACTGGTAGTAGGCATCTCGCCAACCAGCTCCAAGCCCCATCAAGGCCTGGATATACTAATAAACACTTTGATCAGGATCGTACCTCATCATGAGGATACGGTTCCTGAACACGCGTGACAAACACCTATTATTAGTATAACTCACTCACCCACTGATTAATCATTCAAAGTCGTACAATAGTTGTTCCTTTTTTCTTATTGGACGATTTATTCCTCAGACCACTTTTCGTTTATTCTCCTTTTGGTCTGAGGAACGGACGGTTAGCTATATAAACCCTACACATTGCATGTATAGCTCTTTAGTTTTCTATTACTTGAATTATCCGCTTTACCTCTTATCAGAAACCTCTGAGTCCTAACTCCTACATCCTCTACTTGCTATATTCTCTAGCATCTGTTGATAACCAGGCTCATAGAACCCCTTACTCCCTGCAAATGCAGTTGGAGACAGGTTTTGTTTTTGTTATAGTTTATTGTTGCCTCACAAGCAATATATCAAGATCATATGCTGACAAGAACAAGCACGCACATGGAATTAGTAGTGGTAGAAAGCAACTTCTGCACATCTACAACAAATGAGCTGAACTATGAAAGAGGGAAGAGAAACAGTATCAAGCAAAAGTCTTCATTTTTAGTGTCAGTCCTATCATAAATTTGCATGGAGGTGTTGACTATTTCAACCCTTGAGCCGCTGATACCAAGCTCATGGGAGGTGATCTCTGCATTATCACAAGTCTGGGAGTCCAGACAGTTTCTATATAATCTATTGTTGCATATGTTTATGTCAGAAAGAAAGTGGTTCTATTGTGTAGAGGAGTGGACATCGGAGGAGGATGGTGACTCTGGGTGGATGTGTTGGAGGGTGATAAAACAGCGCGTGAGCAAGAGGCCCATTCATGCTTGTGGGAGGGGTCCTACTGCCTAGATGTGGGCTGAGTCGAAGACACTTTTGATGAAACAATATCTTTAGGTTATTGCAAAGTGAGGATTTTGAAGAAGGGAGCTGTATGGCGCTTACTGGAAGTGCCTGGCGGTGTCGATGATGAGAACTGTTGTTAGAAAACCACACACAAAAACAAAGTAACACACAATCCTCCCAGATCCCATGGAACTTGTTTATGGGCTTTGCCTCCTAGAACAGTGGGTGCTCTGGTTGTTCATGGGGTGGTATGTATGACAATCCTTCAAAGTCAAACCCAAAGATGTATGGGTGTGGGTTTTGAGGAGGAGGAATAGTTGAACTATAGAAAATAGGGGCTTTATGACGAGTATAGACGAGCACTACTGTAACAACCAAGAGCTCTGGCGCACAACTCAGACAAGCTATAGAGAGGATGATGAGGGAGTGGTTACCCTTTAGGCTTCAACAAGTTAGTTGTGAGGATACTGCTACGATAACACAATTTTCGGACTTTCCCTTTACTTTTATTTTCTCTGCTTTAACCTTGTACTATAGCTTTCACACATGGTACCACGCGGCACTTCCCCTTTTCTTGCGCCGCATTGCCCTTCTTGTTATTATGGACACAACTCTCTCACACAGTGGAGCTGGTCATATGGGCTAGGCCCCATGACATCATCAGCCACTGTATCTATCAACTGTATAGTACACATGTACAAACAACCCTGTAGTAGTATATAAACCCCAATAGATCCAGGAGACTCCTCAGCGAGTCCTCCTGTTGTATACCAACTAACTCTCTGAA